ATTTGACTCAATAGCACAGGATCGAACGTCCTTAAAAGAGCATTCTTTATCTAATATAAAATACACTGAACAAGTTTTACATAAGCTTGAAATTATATATCTTGATGATAAATTGAAACGAAAATTGATGTGAAATTATTGGTTACTAGTGATGAAAAGAGTCTCTCACTTAAAAAGTTGGGTACAGAAAATCTACATGGTATTTTAAAAAAGAGAAAAAGAAAAGATCTTTTTCATATGTTATGAATTGTAACTTTTAGATCATAGAAGAAGCCATGGATCAGCAAGAAAGAGCCAAGAGACAGAGAATAACTTTAAAGTCTCAGGTGGATGACTTAGAATCAGAAATCAGTGAGATTAAGAAGCGCATGAACAACCAGCAGAAAGAGGTGGCCAGTGCCCAGAAACAGATTACAATGGTGGAGACCAAGCTAGAGCAGAAACGAGCTGATAGACACAGTCTACTTAAAGCCTGCAAGGTAAATCTTGTAGAGGGATGGATATCTTTTAAGTCAATATAAATGGCAGAAATAAAGGTGTTAAGTAAGGGGCTCAACATGGAAAAAATCCAGAGCATTGCCCTTTGGCTTATATTTACACTAACAAAATTTTAAGAGAGAAAAAGGAAAAGAAAAAAATATGGTTTTCAGAGTAGTTTAATAGTTTAAGTCTCAGATATCATTATTAAAGTGTCATTTATACAGGTGTATTCTATTGGTTTCAAGAAAAACGACAATGCTATGGAGATATTTGTGATGCATGTATTATCTTAAAAACGTAATCACCCCAAACACAAAATCACACAGATTAGTATGCACAGTTTATGATATATGGCCATTGTTCCCCTACAGATGGATGACATTCGACTTCCAATGAGGACGGGGACTATGGATGACATCAGTCGAGAAGACGAGCCGTCCAGTCAGCCTGACGGTGGTAGTCAGTCCACCACAGAGACGCCACTGGACAGTATGAGTTCTCAGGGACAGCGGGCAATATATGCTAAAGAGGCACAGATACAGATTGACTACAGCTCACTGGACGATGATCTTAAAGAGGTCGGGGTGCTTACCAATCAATGTTTTGAAAAATTTAATAATTGTTAACTACTTTTGGAATTCTTTTTAAATAGGGAAGTATTTTATGATGGTTAAAGTTAGTATGAATTAACTGAATTTTGTACATTTTGTGTTTGTAGTTGGATTCTCAAGACGATGTGAAAAAACAGACCGAGGTCATGACAAAAGCTTTAAGTGACATGAATTCTAACCTGAATCGAATTAATGCACCCAATATGAAAGCTGTAGAAAAGTAAGTTTCACAATATAATGAAATTATGAAAACAAAATAAAATTGTGAATTTCAAAATGAAAAAAAGAATTTTAATTTTGTAAAATATATTTGTAAATACTTAAAAGTTAAAATACAACATTGGAAAAAATTTGTTTTTCATGTGATTATTGAGAGTTTGAAAAAGTATTGTTTCTGTTGCCAAGGTTGGATGGTGTGAGAGAAAGATTCCAAGAAACCTCAGAGGAATTCGAGAATGCTAGGAAGAGGGCTAAAAGAGCCAAACAGGCCTTTGAGAAAGTCCGTAAAGAAAGATATGACAGATTCATGCACTGTTTTGAGCATGTATCAACACGAATTGATGAAATCTACAAGGTTTGATCTCTTATTCCATTCAATAGGTTATTAAATTTCAAATTTTATCAAAAGTAATTTATATTTGTCATTGAAATGTTTATTCAATAGAGTTTAAAAGGAATTGGCTATTCTTGGCACTGAAAAATTCACTGTCAGAAAATGAAAAGGCCTTATTCATATTCCTGTTCGTTATACACCATTGCTCTGGTGTCTTGTAAATTTGATGACAATAAGATTTTTTTTTCCCCAAAATGCATTTAGGGCTCAATGTTGTATACATTTAACTGCAGGCTTTAGCCAGAAATCAGAGTGCCCAGGCTTTCCTGGGACCAGAGAACCCAGAGGAGCCGTATTTAGACGGTGTCAACTACAACTGTGTGGCCCCGGGGAAGCGGTTCCGACCCATGGACAACTTGTCTGGGGGAGAGAAGACAGTGGCAGCCCTAGCGTTACTGTTCTCAATTCACAGGTGGGTTAATCCGCAACATATTCACTGAGTTTCTGATTATTTTAGTAAATGGATAAATGTTTAGTACTGTAGTAATCTTGTGACAAAATTAAGTTTAACCTTGTATATCATGATCATGTTGTAAAAAGATGCACATCTATTACTAGAATAGTTAATACTGATATTGAAAATATGCTGTTGATCTAACTTGGTCACTTAGTTGAAATTCTGTTGAATTTTCCAGTTACCAGCCTGCACCCTTCTTTGTGTTGGATGAGATTGATGCTGCTCTAGACAACACCAATATTGGAAAGGTAATGCTTTTTGTTGAAACACTTTGTGTTACTGTTATGAAATTTTTTGCAACTGCTTTTTCAAGTTTTAAATAAAAGTAAAATGTGAATCCTCATCTTATATGTCCATAATTAACCATGTTGACAAGTGCCTGATGTTGAAAAACCATGATCAGATATGGCAGAGTTGAATTTCCATCTTATTTGAATAGTCTTTTCGCTGGAGAAATTTTACAGCAGTGCCATTGAATCATTTTGTTTTACAGGTAGCTTCCTACATTTGTGAGCAATCCAGAAATTCATTTCAGTGTATTGTGATTTCACTGAAGGAAGAATTTTATAATAAATCTGACGCACTCATAGGGATTTATCCAGAGGTATGAACAGCAACTATGTGCCTAAAATTAAACTATTTCACACATTCATTTTGTAAGAATGTAAGATAAAGATGCTCTCAATGAATTCAGAATTTAGAAAACTTGTATATTTTCCATTGTATACCGTATTTGGCCGAGTATAATACGCATTGATGTAAAATACGCAACCCCCTTTTTGAGTCTGAAACTGGGGAAAAAAGAGGAGCCGTATTATACGCAACAGAAAAATTTACTAAGTGATGTTCTGAACTATGAAAATCACGGTAATTTGTTACGAAAATCGGCGCGAGGATTAGGTGTCAAAAATTTAATGAACACACTTTTTTTAAAATACACACTTTATAACTTTCTCTTAATCCTGACATTCCGTATCTCGGCAATCTGGAGAAAATTATTTATTCATTTATTTCAACAAAGCACAAGATAATGTTGCGTAAAACTATTAACAGATTTTTTTAAAGAATAGTTACGGTGATTTTGAAATTATGCGTCGCCATATTCTTAGATGAAATAATTTTATTTTAACAAAGCAAGAGATATTGTCAATGTTTTATCAGTTGTCATATTTAATTTTGGTTCTAATAATCATGCTAAAATTATCTTACAATATTTTAACAGGAAACGAAATTGAAACATCAAAGTATTTATTTCTTTAACAAGACTACGATTTTCCTCTTTGAATCTTCACGGATATCTTATTTTCTAAATGATACCACTTTTATTAAAAGTTTTAGCATAATTTATATTTCATTTCTCATCTCTCAATTATCTAAACAAGAGGCCTATAAGTATAAGATAAGGTAAAATTACATTTAACAAGTGTTTAATTGTTTAAGTGCCGTAATCAACACATGCTCACCATGCTCAAACATACGAAAGGTCATAAACCAACCCCCAATTTTTAACAAAGAAAATAATCACAGCAATTAACATGGCAGTAAATAATCAGTGCTCTAACTGTAAAAACATTGCTTTGGAGTCGGTAGACAATTAATTGCCCCGAGGGGTGTTGATAGGTAATTATCATTTGACCAGCGCACGTGTGTCACAACATTGGCTTCCTTTCATTGGGACGTATTGAGGGGTGTTAATATTGTTGCAGATTATCACTGAGTTATTTAAACCTAAAATTAATATTTATTTTATTGTATTTCATTAAAAAATGATTTATAACTTTGTCTGGCAGATAAGGTGCATGTGCACTTTCATTCCGGAAGCACGTGACATAGCTATGAGTGAACGTCTAAAAATAACATCGGTAATGGCGGCCTCCTCGGAGACAATCAACATGCAGCTCAAATTACTTTTAACTTACTTTTTCATGTTATTTGGGCATAAAAAGGTTTTGAAAATGACATTTATAAGAAGCATACCTTCCAACAATAACTTTCCGAAGTTTAAAATATGGCAATTAACAAACGAAATTGCATGTGTCTCTAGATAATACTACGGTATGTACGTATGATAGCCGTGTTGCACACAGAAAAACTTCATAATCCCATTGTGATGTAAATACGCATCCCTTTCTCACAGAAATTTATTTTAGGAAAAAAGTGCGTATTATACTCCCCTAATTACGGTATTCTGAATTTAGAAAATTTATGTATTCTTCAGTGTGTGAAAATCAATGGTGGTTATTAAATCTTTTCCAGCAAGGGGATTGTGTTATTAGTAATGTGTTGACCCTTGACCTCAAACAATACCCAGAATCCCATCAGGATGAAGAGGGACATCAGGGGGTTCATCGCTGAATAGGGTCAACTAGAGGTACATCACAAACTGCAGCTACCCATGGAAAGCCTCACACTGCCAATATTGTTTGAAAGAAAAATTCTTAACATTGACAGTGTTTTGATTTATACTAGGTGTACGTTTTGACATTATGTGAAACTTATTTGTTGTCAATTTATGAAGTATTATCAAATAGAGAGAATTTTTTGTATAATTCATTGTCAACAGTGCATTTACATGTACTTCTTGGAAAAGAATTCTCCATATGAATTTTTACTGAAGTATTCATTCATCAAAAAATTATAATGTATTCTTATATTTTATGTGTTATGATCTGAGAAATTTATCATGCATAACATTTTAGTCTTGCTTCTTTGTTGTATTTATTACAATAAAAAGTAGAATTGTCATCGATATAGCTTATTTTTGGCACTTTGATGATGTAATACACATGTACAGACCTTATGTTGAAGAAAAAGCAGAAAAATGCATTGGTAGTTTATACAGTTTATATTCACATAAATACATGTAGGTCAATTATGGACATACAGTAAATAACAATGAATTTTTCACAATTGAATTAAAATCTTCACATGATACAAGAAAAATTTAAAATACATTTGAAAATAACAAAAATATCACAGATTTCTTCATCAGATATAATTTAATTTTGAATTGTAAAATTTCATTTCCTAGTTAAACAGTTCTTGTTAAAATTTAATTGTATGTCTACAATTTAATCATGTTCCTAAGCCCTGGACTGCACGGGGACTTGTTGCCCGTTAATGGCGGGACCATTGGGTTGGGTAAGCCGATCGTTAGCTCTGGCTCTTAAGTGTTCTGCCATTCCTGGCAGCCTAGAGAAATAGTTCCTAGCTAGCACATGTTTCTGTTGAACCTTCTGAATGAAAACTAAACCATATCCCTGAAAATGGAATAATGCATGTTGTAACCAGCTATAAAAAATGGAGAATTTTGGAAAGAAATTTCTTTTTGAAAAAGTCTGCATTCTTCATAGTGTGCATGATGTATTCAAATGGAATTGTAGTTCTACTCATATGCATGAAGTAATCTGGAGTTAAAATTGAATCCATATAAAACAGCTCTTTGAAGAAATTAACAATGTGCATGAGATAAATAAATGCATTCACACATCTGTTTGGATTCAACTGGAATGTTATGCTAAAAAACGAGAGAATGCACAGCACATTCAATACTTATTTGGATTGAACTGGAATCTTTTGATATAAAACTCAGAATGCATGCCCATTTAATACTAAACTTAAAACTCAACAAAACATAAGCCGTACCTCCTCCAAATCATGGAGCCTTTCGTGGGCGGCGGCTTCATCCTTGGTCAGGAGAATGCAGTTCCAGGGAGACCACTCCTGATGTTTGTCCCAGCGGGACAGAACCAGGTCAAAGATGTCGTCCCACGCGCTCAGTATGCTCTGACAACTCCAGATCTTCTCCACAAGGTAACGCAGATCCTGCTCCTGAAAATTTAAGGTTGGAACATTTATCAATATGTTTATGTAATGCTAAAATGTTTGAACTGGAAGATATTTATAGATTCAAATTCGTTCTTTCTAGGAAAAAATTGTGAACATTTCATCAAATTGAATATATGTAAAGCTATAAAAGTTTGAACTTAAAGTTATGAGCATTAATGATTTTAATTTCAGTCATTAAATGCAAAATGTTTGTATGAAAGTACAGCTGCATGTTATTGAATAAGAGTAAAATAACCGTTTTGTCATCTACTTTAAAACAATGGAGAAATTATCTGTTATATATTCTTACCTGCAGGAGGAAGGCAATTCTAGAGCCATCGCCATATCTTTCCTCTGCTCGCCGCAGCATTTTGAGCATGTATGTGTAAGTGCTGTAATCCTGCCTGGTTCGGGCATCGTTGTCGATCTTCGTACATCTCTGGCATTTACCAACGGTACGGGAGTTGGAGGCCAGGGCAAACTCAGTAGAGGGCAGGTACTGATTACAGCTGGGACAGAAGTAGATGTTCTTGCGGAGGACAGAGGGATCTTGAGGCACCTTTGAGGGAAAAAATGTAAGATTATTTTCCATCTCTTATTTTTCTTCTGCTAAAAATGATGTACCATTATTTTAAAAAAGAAAATCTAAAGAAATAAATGTTTAATAAGTGCAAACAGCTTCCAGAATTTTTTCTACAATTGAAGACTGTTTAGACATACCTTGAGCAATTTGGCAGCTTCTGGGTTGAATGTAGGTGTCTTGATGTACTGTAGGAACAAAGTAGAAATTCTTTTCCTAAGGCCTTCAAGATTTCCCTCTCGAACACCCCTCATAAGTAGGTCAGCCTCTCTGTCAATTAGCTCAATGATTTCTTGAGTCAGTTTGCAGTCATGCTCCTAAAATGAAAAAAAATTGAAGAATTATCTTTCTATTTCCCAGATTATTGTTCAAAATTTCTCGATAATTTATCAGTTTGCTTTGAATTCATAAACTTTTGAAGCATCCATCGAACAACACTTGTCTGAATATGCCAGCATTTTATTTTTGTTAAAACTTCATATTAAATAGTGTATAGCATGCCCTGGCTTGGGACAATATTTACTCTCAAAGTAAAATAGATTTGATGTAAATTACTGACATGATACAAGTCAATGCAATAAAATGAACATATATTATAGATTTCTCAGTTTTCACAGTTCGGCATGTAAATATTCACCTTGACAGTATGTTTGAGAGTCAGTAGTACATCCAGTCTTTCATCCTGAGTGAGGTACTTCATGTTGATACTGTTATAGATGTCCCTCAGCTCCTTGGCTCGGATTGTGTAGGGCGTGTCCATCTCTGTGGTCTTACCATCGTGTCCCTTCCACTTCTTAGGGGCTGCAGCCTGTAACACAGTAGAAAAGAAAAGTGAGTACTTTTCAAAAGCAGAAATTATTTTTGACATACAAAAACTGACAAGGTACAAGTAATAAATTTTAAAAGGAAATTCCAAGCACCCTCTCCCCCACAAAAAATGTTTTATTGTGTATAAACTAAGAGTACTATTCCAAGGTATATATGCATCTTTTAAATAGATCAAGACATTCCATTGAAATCTACAAATTGTTATTCTGATTGGTTAGCATTCAATCTTGTGCCTTGCCTTGCTAAGGAATGCCTGTATACGTTTCTCCTTGTTTTCGCTGTCGGCCTCTAGCTTATGCCGACCGATGGCTGAGATGAGCTGGGTCTCCTGGTCCAGTAACATACACAGCGCTGCTTTACGCTCCGCCCCCTCTGAGGTACCATTGATCCTCTCTAACTCCTCCTGTCTCCATTCTGTAAGGGGACACAGAGTAAAGGTGTCGAGAGAAAAAATCAGATTTCCCCAATTTGGATACTAAGTATTATAGAAACAATTTTGAAATTGACTGTTTGGTTATTGAAAATTTAAGCAAGATTTTCTTTAAATCGTATTGTTAGTATAAAGAAACAATATGACTTGAAATATTATGAAATATTGAAAATTTTGAAAATTATTTTGTGGTTCTCAGGTAAATGAAATGAAAACCCAGACAAATTTGCAAAAGGAATATTTTCCCTCACTTTTTAACAATGGATCATAAAAAAGTTTTTAAAAATGATAATTTTTCAAGACCAATTACTTTCTTAGAATTGTTACTTACTTTCCAGAGCATGATAAAGTAAATCAAAGTCCTCCTTTGTTTTGGGGTTCATCCTCCTCTCAAATTCCTTTTTGATCCTCTCCTCTTTTTCTTTCTTCTTCTTAAGCTCCTCTAGTCTCTCCCATTCCAGACGCTGGACCTTGTCTTGTTTTAATTTTTCCACATACCTCTTTGCTAACCACCTTCTGTGGTATTTTTGAATTATAATGACCTGAAAAAAAAGAGGTTTTGTGACTGTAAATCTGGACATCATTGATTCCATATAAATTGGTTGGATTAGACAACATTGTAAAGAATTGAATTTGCAGAAAAGGACTGAAAATTTCCATATATTTCTTCCAAATTTCATGAAATTACACAGTCATATGTATTTTTTAGGTAACCAACATTAACTTCAGATCTTCATTATATGGAAATAAAGACACACCTTTTTGAAAATCATGCTATGATGCTCATCTGCCGTGGTGTATTTTCCAGGCACCATGAGTTTGTCCTCCATATTGGACACATACACCCCGATCCCGGTCATCTGTGTGGAGGTGTCATTCGTCGTCTGCTGGACGTGGTGCCTCTGTTGTACTGTCTGGGTGTCGCGGCAGTTTCGCGGGACTTGAGAAGGTGGTGGTTGTTTCTTGATAGTCTGGGCGGTGGCATGGTGGTATAGGACCCCCGTTTTCTTGTGGCGGTACCCTCCCAGATATGGCTTCTTTCTCGTGGCTCTCTCAATTTCTACCACCACATCTTTGTAAGCATTCTCATCTGAAATCAAGAAAATGTTCATATTCATTATTATTTCTGGTTTAATTTTCAGAATAATCCTTTTCAATAATAAAATATGTACTTAAAATCCTACATGTAAGTATTGCTTTGACTGTAAAGTAGCTCACCTGTTTGTACCCGGACTGTGATGACATCAGGCATATGGTACTCCTGTCGTGGGCGGTAAGTCTTGATGGGGGTGTTAACTGGATCAGCTGACTGCATCTCTAATTGGACTGTTCCATTTGGCCCCACCCCCAGATCCGCCAAAGTAGTGGTATCTTCCACAGCTTTTCCTAAAATAAAAAGAGACTATTAAGATTCTAAGTACTTTTTTTCCTCATTTTTACAGAAATAATAGTGAGTTTTACTTTCCTAATAAAATATATAATTACTTATTTGTACTTAATTTTAGAATTTTATGGTTAATAAATATATCTTTGTGTATGAATGACACAAATGAGTATAATAAATGATTTATACCGTCAAACATGAGGAGTATGAGCTGTACAGGCATCTTGAGCTCCTGGGAGAAGTGGTCCTTCAGCTGATGTAGGGTCTGACCCAGGGTACACGCCAGGGTCACCACCTGACCACTGGGCATCAGCACTATCTTAACTGAAAAATCAAAATCATTAATGTGTATTTGTATAACATGCATGATAAATGTCGGTAATTATGCAAAGATGTAGAAATCAGTATGTATGAGAGCGAGATAAAATAATTCCATTTGAGGGATTGCTGTTAACCTACTTTAAATCGGGAATTTATGCCAAACTTTTATTTTGCATTGTTTTTGTAAAAAATTTTTCCTTATTCGTTAAAATTAATTGCTGCGGATTGATTTCAAACTGAAAATAAAAAATACACAGCAAAAAAGATGGTTTGCAGTGATTAATATTCACGAGTTAAAGTATGTCGTGAAACTCACAGATATTTCTCGCATATATGATTGGGAAAGCAAGCCCTATCCTTAAAAACAAAAGTGATCCCATTTTATATTTTTTGAGTTCACAAATATCCTAAATACTAATTTAAAATTCCTGTTGTTTTGTAATTTGGATGATTTAAGTGAACCAGTGTGTTTGATAACTCACCTGTTGCTGTGGCCTCTAGATTGGCTGTTGTCCTGGGGGTCGTGGCGTGAGGGTCAGTCTCATGTCCCTCCCCGGATTCCATCGTGCCCATCCCTGTTGTCTGGGTGGGCTGAGGAGTGGGGGCGGGAGCTTGCTACAAAAATAATCAGTAATTCTATAAGCACTAGTAGTAGTACAAGCAATAGTACTATAGTAAGCAGATTCATGACAAAAGTACAAGACCTTTCATTAGAGAAATGAAATTTTCTTATTTTAAATTAACAAAGTCCCCTTGCACCTCTAGAAAATTAAGAAGTTATAAGTTTATTGAGAGACAGCTATTAGAAATGATCACTACCTGTATTGTGTCCTCTCTAGGAGGTTCCTCTGACTTTTCAGCCCCCTCCTCGGGGGATACCTCGGCAGGCTTCTCATCGGGTTTCTTCTCCTCCTCTGGCGCAGCATCCTTTGATTCCTCTGTAAATAACAAATTGAAAAATTAATAATATCATTTGGTTACATGGGGATATATTTTAGATTACCAAAATTTCTTGACAAGGCTGAGACCAGAGATAGTTATAATTTATATAAAACAAAAATATGTGAAAAAGATTTTTCAGAGACCACATCACAAATTTACACAAAACATATCTCCTCAAATAAAGTGATGCACGGCAGTTGATTGCTTTAAATTTTCAATGCAGAAATCTTGCCGATTTTCAATTTCTGAAACTTCATTTGAGGAAATAATTTTGTTTCAGAATTGAAACTTTGATTAGAATTTTTAGTCTTGCATAAATTTTACCAATGTTTCCAAAATGGCACATCTTCGTTCAAAGTTTCCATTTCCGAAATTGTTTCACAATATGTTTGCTTTCACATGTACTTTTTACCATAAAAAATGCAAAATAAGCATATTAGTACCTTGAGTAACTTCTTTGGGCTCCTCTTTTGTTTCTTCCTTTGCTTCCTCTTTCACTTCTTCCTTTGCTTCCTCTTTCACTTCTTCCTTCGCTTCCTCCTTCACTTCTTCCTTCGCTTCCTCTTTTTCTTCCTCTTTCGGTTCTTCTTTTGGTTCCTCCTCTTTTTTGTTTTCTGTTGCCTCTTCCTTGGCCTCCTCTGGATAATTAAGATAATGCTTTTATTTCATGCATGAGGACTATCACAGTTTAAATCATTGAAAAATCTTCAATGGTAGAAAGATTGTAGAAATAACACAATTTAAAACAAAAACAAAATCAAGGAGGAATGAAGTTGGTTTGGTAATGTGGTGAAACACCCATGATGTGCACTCGTCATCCTGTCAGAATGATGAGTGATGGGTGTTTCATATCATATCAAAACTATAACATATATAATGTTATATAATTTGTAATTTTGTCTCAGAAAAAAAAAAACTTTACTTATATTCATACAAAATAAAATTTCAATGCATGTTTTATTTGTATATTTCTTAATGTTCTTCAACATTTTTTTTGGGGGGGCAACAATGTTGCAATATTGCATGTATTTATGTCCAATAATAGATCAATACAATATTATTTCACACCAGTATGCTACTGTACCTGTAGGTGGTGCTGCTATTGTTTCTTGGGTGGGCTCCACCACAGGTTCGACAGTCTCGGGGGCTGCTGGCTCTGCAGCGGGTGGTGGCTCTTTTGCTGGGGGTGGGGCATTTTCTGGGGCTCCCTGTTTTGTTTCCTCCATGGTCTCTACCACTGGGGCAGGAGTTTGTTCTTCTGTTTTCTCCTCAGTTGTTTCTGGTTTTTGTTCTTGATCTGCCATGATGTTACTTAGACAGACTAAAACATGAGAATAAATTCACAGACTTAGTTGGGTTTTTTTAAAAATAAGATTATAAGTGTATGCATGAAGATATGCAGGAACTGAACAATTTGAATATACAACTGCATGCATGCAGCCACACGATGCATGATTTTTATGACAGACAAAATAAACTAGTTACGGTGAATATTTTGCAAAGAACTTTGAATTATTCTTTACACATCAGCAAAACTTAATTTGTATACTTGTGAACAGTTTATGCTCGATTTTATCAAAGAAATTTGTCACTTGCAGAAAAATTAACATTCTGTCAAAATAATTTATTTAAAAAACTTTGAATGGAGATATATTTTGTCGTTGAATTCTTAATTACTTTTAAAAAAAAGTATTACACTTCATGTTTACGGAAAATACATGAAGTTAAATGAAGAAATTTCGTAAAACTTACGATACAAATTATTGCTGCACTCAGATTACTGGTCCGCCATTGAGGTTGTTTTCATGACGTCTTGGTTACCGAAAAGGGAACCGACTTTCGAATTAACACGAACTCTCATTGGATAATTTGCTTCGATCGACCAATCCCGATACACGTAACAATTACCCATGGACGTTTACCGAGTAGCTATTCCACTGGGCCATAACAACACACAACTATAATTTTTGAAGAAAATTATCGTATTTTTTCAAAGAAAATGTGATAAAAAGGCTCATGGATTAGTTTATTTCACCAATAAGATTGTAATAGGAATTCAGACAATAGTTTATTGGAAAGGTAAGCGAAGACAAAGTAGTTTTACGATAGTTTCTATGCGTGTTACTGTTGACCATGCAAAAATTGTCCTACATCACATACATCATGTGCAAAATATCATTTTTGAATTTTAAATGTAAGGTGGCAATTCAGTATCATTTCATTTCAATTCAAAATGACATTCTTCACATACTAAAATGCAAATAATTTAATTGTATGCAGTAAATGATGTCATATTTAGTTACTTAACTTGGTGGTTTTCTCCATGTTGCCAAAAGTTGCTTATAGGCCTAATTTTTTTTTAACTTCTTTTCTAATCAAAAACGATGTATTTGATATGCAGTTAAGGGATACAATTTTTCAAATAAATAAAGGGTTTTCAGAGAATGGGATTGGTGAATATTAAGCATAATTAAGGACCCAGACAATACACACAGCATATTAAAGTTAATTCTTTTTTTTTTAATGCATATCAAAATTAATGAACATTTGCAATTTATATTCTTTTCTCAGTATTTCTTTCATTGTTTAAACACTAGTCCATATGTTGTGACCTAAAAGATCTAATAAAATACACACTTTATGCAATTCAAACTTAGGTAATAAATATTGGAAAAATGCCACATAGATGTCATTTATATTTGTTGTAATTTAAAGTTTCTTAAGAGCTTCAAAGTTCAAACAACATTTTTTACAATTAAGATTGTGCATAAATGTGAGGGATACAAATATTATTATATTATTTTATTTATCTTTAAAAGAAATTTATTTTTGATTTTTTCACACTTGAAAGTTATATTCAAGCTATTATACACAAGTGTGGTTCTAAATCAAAACCACATGTCAAGTCTAGAAAACTTGTTCATTCATTAATTCTAATAGAAAGTAAGTTAATGGTATTTACTTTATAAATTTTAGATGTCTACGGCACCTGTGCCACCCATAAATGGCCATCAAGGCACAAATGGAGTTCTAAATGGGGGAACACCAAGGGAAAATGGAATAACCAATGGAACAACAAATGGGGAAACCCCCAGAAGCAGGGGCAAGCTGGGAGGGATAGGACCTGATGGCTATCCCCGCCTGCCCCCCATCACCAAACCGAGTCAAAGAGTTGATGACCCCTACGCCAACAGCAAGCTCATGAAATTTAGACTTGCCAATCACAAACAAGCAATGTTGATGAAGATTCTGTAAGTTTTTAACTACAATTTAATTACTTTTAATTCTTTGACACAAAACTTGATTAAAAAAAGAAAAAAATAAAGAGCGAAAACTTTGTGTAATATTCAAAAATTGAAAATGAATTATGAATAAGAGAGTTTATGCAGAACTTTCAGAATGTTGAGAATCTCAATACAGTGTGTATAAGAAAAATTAACAATGAAAACTTTATATTTTTGACAGACATGATCAGGCAGAAAAAGACTTATTGGACACAGAAGAATTCTGTGAGAAACATCCAGATAAAGATGCTAACCCAGATTATCCTCAAGAGGTAGGGCAAGGGGTTTATTCCTCACTGAAAAAAAATGTCATTTTTAACTTATTTGTTCATGCAGTTTGGGAAGAACTTAAATTTTTCTTTCATTTTAAGTTTATTAACTTAATTAGCCTTAAAGAAAATGAATGCTTGTGAAATGTACATGCATGTGAAGAATTCATAAATTGGAAAATAACAGTTACTTTGTGTAAATACATATTTTGATGTATTGTACAGAAATGCCCAGGAAGTAATAAATTGGTCAGTAAATTTGTAATCTATTTGAAACTTACCTTCAAAAACAAGGCATGAACATTAATGAAAAGGAATCTGTGCAATATTAACTTGTTTTCAAAATCACAAAAATTGTTTTCTGATAAATGCATGGAAGTGTGGCTTCGGTCAAGATGCAAGAACATGTTTAAGTATTAATTTAAAATTTACATATATAACAGGTTTTTGTTAAATGTTAGAAAAAATAGAGATAGAGTTTGTTTGAAATTTTACTGCTTTAATGATAATACGCATGACGCTGATATATATTACAGATGATGAGTAAGGAACGCAGAATAAGGGTAGGTAACTGCGTGGCTTTTCAATGTTTGTTGCACTGAACCACTATATTTATACCTGGTGGTGGCTTTACCTTGTACACTTTTTGTAGCCTTTTTGCTTTGATGTCTATACACACTATTTTGCACTTTCTTTTCTTTTTATGTATTTTAGTGTTCATGAATCTTTATGAGATGCCCTAACTGGTGGGGGTGGAGGATGAAAATGATGTAACGAACATTTCCTTAAATAAGAAAACTAGTTCTTTAAGAATTTATTTTTGAAAAGAAAAATTGATTGAATTTCTTAAAATGTCTTTTGCCATTTTCTAAAAAGAAAAATCTGCAGCAATCGGGCGTCTTATATTGTGTTGATATATTGTATCAGATGTAAAATTATTGTACTCTCTCTCTCTCTATCTCTATGTACTTTGACTTCTTATGTATCTTCTCTCTCTTATATTTCTCTCTCTCTCTCTCTCTCTCTCTCTCTCTCTCTCTCTCTCTCTCTCTCTCTCTGCATACTTTAACATCTTATACTCAACATTTCCAATACCTTATTATAACTTAAATCAGCACAATGTATTCGTCATTTACTGTTTGTACATTTATAACACATGAAATTAATCAAACTTTCTGCGATGGAAATATTCCGTTAGTACAGCAGAGAGTTTGTTCATTTGATATGTACATGTAATTCTGTTTTTGTTGCTTGTTCTTGTATTTTTGTTGCCGGTGAATGTCACTATTTTTAGGAAGTAAAAAAAAAATATATAAAGAAAGAAAAGGAAAAAAAAAGTTTATTAAATTTAGATCAAATTATAAAACACACAAAGAAATTTCTTAGTTGAATCATATGTACAACATAACATAAAAGTCTCTTACATATTTATACTTTGTAAATTGCAAAAATTAGAACATGCACAGCTGAATGTTGCCAAAATCTGAGCATTCTATAAACTGTAATGCATTAAACAATCAGCTGTGTACACTTGTATCAAATCTAACCTAACTGGGATTTAAATGAGGTGGAATATGGCCAATTCTAAAACCTCATGCAAACTGGAAAGTTTCCAAAGTGAGTCACAAAAAACATAAACTGAACTAGAAGATTTTTGTGTTTAATTAAATTAGTCTCTTTAAGTATGCAAACTTTAACTCCTTAAGATTTGAATCATATTGGAAATATTGAAATGGGGTTTTCCTTCATGATAAATGCGCATGACTATTTCAAGAATTAGAAAAGATAATGATTTGGGAGATTTAGAAAATTAAGAGATGCCAAATAAATGTGAAAATAAAATTAATGAAATCCCATAATGATCTTTGGATCATGATAAAAAACATTGTATATGTATAAAAAAGCAATTTTTTGGATACAGCACATTTAATTTCTTGGGGGGGGGGCATGTTAATAAAATGTACAAAAACTTCAAAGAGCTTTATACTCTTAAAATACATTAAAATCAAAGAGTTTTTATTTAAAAACACATAATAAATCTGTCATAATTATAGTGCATTTGATAGAATAATTTAGTTCTGATAGCTACAGAATCACTGTCCTATTTCACACAACTGAAGAAGATATAGTTACATGTAATGTTTCTTTTTTAAAATGAAAGTTGCAGCAATCATTATGACTATTTTTTTGTACATATTAACATTCATATTTTTTTTTACAAAAATGCAGTTAAACTATCAATACCTGAAGAAGTGTGTGGAGGCAGGGCCAGTAACTCCTGTACAGCGTCACTGGAACGACAACATTCTACAGATGGTCCCGGAGAGGCTGCAGCAGAACCCAGCTCTACAGGCCTCCATCAGGGACCTGTTCGCCGAGGTCAAGGAGGACTACAACGCCAGCATGAAAAAATCTATGGGTAAAGGCATAAAAGCAGAATTTTGTGAATGTATAAAATAAAGCCATGCATATAATTAATTTCAAGGACATTTATTTATATCAAGAAACATGCTTTACTTTTTATTCCTTGAAGGAGGAATATGTTATTATGGGGAAAAAATACATCTGTATATCATTGACTTGGTAGAAACCCAAGGTAATAAGTTTTACTCTTCTGTTTAGTACAACATGTCCTGATAAAGCCCGAAGTGAAGGGATTAGACAATGATGTGGCAGGGCCCCCGCCATCAGAACCAAGGTGAGTCTTGTCAGGAAAACTTGATATTAAGGTTTATTATTCACATTATGATTATATATTTTTTAAATACATATTTATTGCAGTGTAATGCCATCATACGGAAGCTTTCTAAATGTACTTGTATATCTGCTTGTTTCAATACAATAAATAAATTTGTAGTACATGTGTACTCATGAAAAAGAGAGTGAGAAATGGGGATTGAAAAATTTACATTATTTTTGATTGTATAAATATCAAACATATATAAATTGCATCAAATATGCATGATTCTTTTTTTATATATATACTTATATTGTGTATTACATGTCATTTTATAAAAGAAACTGTTTTTGAATGCTTTTGATATCTTGTTATAACAATTTTTGGTCACTTGATAATTTTATTACCAATATTATGCTACATGAATATTAAATTCACTTTATTATGAGTTTTAACATTGTCATTGTTAAATCAAGACACTTTCACTTTTTGTTAATGTTGCTAAATGTTCATTGCAAGGCTTACATTTCTGCAAAAGAAGTAAGTTACATGGATTGTTCAACCAGAACTTCAGCTTTCAGTTCAACTTTTGTTTCAACTGGACATTTTTACCTTCTTTTGAGTCCTGCTTCTTTAGTTTATCTTGTCACGAAGTTTCCATTCAGTTTCTTTGTATTGCATGATTGATGTTGAATGAACTAGTTGAGTTGTTGCAGATCTTTTTATTTTTCAGTCATAGTTTCAACTTTGATTATTAGATTCATGAATCTGTTTTGTAGATTTAGTACATGACTATATATTTCAGTTTAGTAACTTTGAGATATGTATAAAGGAAACACACAATTTTCATATAGGTTATAGTTTATAAATGTCAAATTCTAGTGGCTGAAAATTTAATATGAAGAATAATTATGAAAAAAGAATTGTAGCACATACACCCATTTTCAATTTGAAACAAAAAATCACATCTCTTAGTTCAAGATTAAAGATGTTTACACAAATGACTCAAATATTTACACAAATAATGAAAACAAAACATCTATATCTGTATAATGAAGACTTTCATTTTGATTATGACCAAAGGAAATTCTTACAAATATGGTAACGCTTCTGCCTTTTATTTCAGTGGACTGGACTACTCTCGGCCATGGCACGATAGTTACGTGGCGGCCAGACAGAACATCAAGGAGAACCTACACACCCTCCACCCCTCTATGCAGACCGTCCTCAGGATGTGTCAGTCTACACTGGGCAACATGATCCTTGTAGACTGCTCAAACTTCAGGTAATGAATAACAGGGGTGTGTTGTTTTAAAAGTGCCTGTATTCTGATCTCTTAAAATTGACACAGACATATACTAGTATATATATAGCAGATTCAGTGTAGCAGGAGCATTTTTGAAAATCTTTTAAAGGAAGGTTGAAAATGGACAACATGTGTAGTATAGAAATTCCTTAATGTAAAATACATGCAATCAAGATTTAGGTTTATTTGATAATTGAATTTTATTATTTCAGTGAGATTAGAACCAAAAACTTAGAGCTTAATAAATGTCACTTATGCATTGTCTTAAACTCTGATATTGATATAAAACTGATTGAGAAAGATGATTAAAACTTTAGACCTGAATTTTCAATTATTTTATTTCAGAGCCAATGGACCAGTAGAATTTGAGTCCTTTAAGAACACCCTTATTCTGGATCTAGAGAAAACAGAGGATAAATTGAACAACAGCTGGTTCCCTGGCATTATCAATGTCTTTGCAGACAAGAACACATTTGTTTCACCCAAGGCTGAAAAGCTGGACTCATTCTTTGAATGTGTGACAACACTGATCTCAAACCAGGTAAAGTATTCAACCTTCACCATTGAAGGAGAATTGCTTTTTGCCTTAAAAAAACTTTCTCTCTACCAAAATGAAAAAAATATAATTTATATAATTTTTGATGTTGCATATTAATTCATATGTTGATTTTTGTTTCCAGCTGAAGGATTTACTAGTGAGAACCATTGACAGTTACGTCACTCTGTTTGATCCTAACGACAAGTCCAAGCTGCCTCTGATGAAGATGGAGCTGACCTTTGATGACCAGAAAATGCAGTTTTATCCCCCAAAGGAAGATTTAGAGGAGACCGCCCTCTTTGTGGTCAACCACATCTGTAAGGCCATGCAGCAGGTGCCCACCGTCCAGTCATGGTTAGCCGGTGGCAGCACGGTCAACCACACAGACGCCACCGTGGCAGAGCATGTGGTTAAAGCCGCAGTTCAGACGTTGAAGGAGGCAGTGAAGAGGGAATTTGAAGGGCCACAGTTACACCTAGATTCATTTGGTGAGTGGTCTTATTTATGTCATTTTTTGATAAATCTTTAACTTACTATACGAGCTTGTCTTGGTATATTTTTTGTTTTATTTTATCAAATTTTTAAAAGTAAATTGACATTAAAGCTGTTTTTTGAGATATTGAATAGAATTTCATTTTTTTTACAAATCGTTATTTTTTTTACAGTAAAGAGGTATGACTACATCGTGAATGGAGAAGCCCTGAAAGAAATTCAAGAATACGTGAAATATGAGCACACTTTTGCTGAGTATCAGAAAGTAAGATCTTCTATTTTTATAATATAATTTTATGGATTTCCCAAAATACAAAATTCCTGTCTAGAAAAAAAGGAAATATTTCTAATTTTTATATAACACTGATGTTTATTTTCCTTTGTAGCATATTGATAGATACAGAAATCTTGCCAGTGAGATCATGGGACTGCCGAGTATAGAACACTTTGACATGATTCGTCTGGATTGCGAGGACCTGAAGCGAGGATTGGCTGAGGCCGCCCGAGGACTCGCTGACGAACTCCTTAGAAAAGTCTCCGACGACCACAGAGCTGAAAACAAGAGGCAAGTATAAGGAATTAAGCATTGGCATATTTCAATGGGTGACTGCAGTTTGCTTAATGTTAATATGCCTTTTGTAATTAAAAACATTTTCAAATATTAAGTTAAAACATGTACTGTTGTATTTTGAAAAATAATCCTTTAAAAAAAATGATCTAAAGTAGATAAGTTTTTTCTGTGTTGGATTAATTTATGTTATGTTCATGGTCTCAAATTTTTTCAGCATATATAAAGTACAATTAAGATAAAAACAATTGCAATCCAAGAAATTCATATTTTTAACTCAATATTGAACAAAACTGCAATTTCACAGAACCATGACCACATTGGGAAAAAAAAGATTTTTTTCTCACAGTTTTTGTAGAATATCAATAAAACTATTTCATACCTGTACTTTATAATTATCATGAAATGTTTATATAATTTTTCAGCATTTGTGAGGAATTCCAGACAATCAGAGACAAGGCTCTGAAAACCCCCGATTCCAGTGAAGAGTTGATGGAAATGGTGAAGTTCACACAGGAGGCTAGAACCAGTGGAATGGTGAAACTGAATGAACGCATCAAGGAGTCTAAGGACCGGCTGGCCTATCTTATTGATGTGTACATGTTCCCACCAGAGGACATTGAACTGAACTGTGAGGTTCTGACCTGGCCAAATAGAATCTCACCAGTCTTTGATGAAAATGACGAGGTGTGTCTTCTTGGATTTATGTAGCAAAGTTTTATTTTTTGGTCCTAAACTGTTAGGGGGTTTGAGGAAATAGAGCTAAATTTTACTTGATAATATCATCCCTATTTGTCAGTAATAAAACTGACAACAAAACTTAATATATCTTATAAGAGGATAAATATTTAATATCAAAAGTTTTTAACATTGAAGTGCTGTGATGAGAAGGGAGGTAACTCTTTTTATACCCAACCAACAATATCCTTGATATTATGAATAACACTTCTGTTTTGGTTTTGGCACTCAGCTGATAGAGAAATCTAAACAAGCAGGAGAGCGCCAGTTATTGGAGAAGAGAGAGAAGGTAATAGCAGAGCTGGAGAAACTCCGACAGCGTGTGGATGAATTTAATGATTACGGTGAACTGGACATGATGACCCAGTACGTACAAGATGTCCGCGCTGTACAGAAACGTCTGGCCGATGTACAGGAACAAATCAGCTTCATTAACAAGGTCAGTGAAAAGTTTTTTTCACATAATTTCTTAAAAAGAATGCAAAAATTTTATTAATTTTCAGGGATGGAGGGGATGGGGGTAAATGTCTAGTGAGTGTCAGTGCATTAAAGTGAACACTTTTGCAAAACTAAGTTTCCATTAAAGAAAAAATATTAAACTACACTGTTTAGGCATTGTTACAAAAAAGAAACAATGCCAGTGAAAATATGCAATAAGAAATGTTTGTGTCAAACTGCATAAGATTTATGTCATGTAATGTACAATACTGATTGCTTAACAAATAAATAATAATAATTAAAAAAAAAATAGAATGTGTTGATATCACACACTGGTATAATTTAATTCGCAGGGAGGACTTACGTTATGTATAAATCAGAGAATTAGAGCTAGCGCACTGTCTACATATATATAAAAAATTATTCAACAAATTAAAGATGATTTAATTTTATTATTTAAACCTGTCACATTCTTCAATAAAATGACAAAGAATAGATTTTTTTTTTTTGACAAATATTAAATACTGTCTTTTTAAAGCATGTAAAATCAGAGCAAGTAAATGGAAAGTGGTGGTGGTGGGGGGGGGGGGGTTCAACTAAATGTGGTCATACATTTGTCATTTGAATAGTCATTTTCAGTTCCCCACACGGTAAAATAAATTGATATTTACAACCATTGACTGTATTATTTATAAAGATGCCCACTAAATGCTTTATTTGACAGTACATATACATCATGATGTGAGAAATAATTTTAGATGAGATTTTTTTTTAAACCTTTCTAAATAAAAAATAAACTTGTTTTGTAAGTACTTGGAGAGAAAAACCACTGCAAATACAACAGAATAATTTTCCTCAGATAATAACAACTATGTGTAAGGATAAATGTAAAGAAAAACATAAACATTTATGGAAGCTAATGTTAACATTATGATCTAAAAATGAATATGATAAAATTAATACACGAAAAGTGAAACTGAAAACAAATTAATAAAATGTGACCTTTTCATTTAGAATAATTTATTTTTTGAGTATACCATGATGAATTTATAGTTAAAATACTTTTTTTTAAAACAAATAATTATTTCTCAGGCTATTTTAGCCCATTCCCAGGTTAAAAACAATGACCACAGTAATTATCAGTAAATCTCAGCATCGACAGCACATCAACAGTATTTATCAGTATTTATCAAACTCAACAGTAAAGACGACAGTAATTATCAGTATTTCTCAGCAACAACTAAAATTATCAGCAACAACAGTAATAATAACAGTAAATATCAGTAATTATCAGCAAGAACAGCACCGTATCAGTAATTATCAAACATTATCAGTAAAATTTGGGATTCTCAGCACTTTTTTCGTCCAGTAGTGATGATTATGAATAACTTTTTGATTTGACTGTGATATAAGGGAAATAAATTAGAACACACTCTAATGTACCTGGTACTATTTACATTTCTATGTTAATCTGAAATGACTTTTCTCTCCTACAGGAAGAACATCTGTATAAGTACCCCATCTCCACTTATCAAGCTGATGTGGATGAAATCACAAGTCAAGTGGAGCCCTTCTACAGACTCTTCAACATTGTGCTCAAGTGGCAGAAAGCCGAGAAAAAGTATGAGATTACTTTAAGTCGTTGTGAATAGATTTCTTTTTCAAATTTAAAATAAGAGAAAAGAAAAAGAACATATCTAAGATCATACTGTTAGTAATATACAGATTTGGAATGAAAAATTTATAGTGACTTTGGTAGGGGAAAAAAAATTAATCTTAAATTTGTGTGATTAGATGGATGGATGGAGCTTTCATGGACCTGGATGCAGAACAAGTGGAGGGTGAGGTGGATGAATACACCAGAGAGATCTACAAAGTCCAGAAGGTGTTCAACTCGAGGCTCAAGAAAATCCAGATGGAGGTCGACGATCGAAACCGCGAACGAAAGAAGCGAAGGCGTCACGCCGAGGAAAGCGGGCAGGAGATTGCCCCAGAGGATCAGGACGAGGTCGTGGTTACACCTCAGGGAATGGAGATCTGTACCAAGGTCCAGGACAGCATGAGAGACTTCAAGGTAAAGGAGGGGGAATATTAATTGTGATATTAACCTGCTTAGGCTTGGCTAGTGTTGACTTTTTAAGAGGGGGAGACATGAAGAAAATTTGATTTGTTTTAAATTGTGAAACCTTTTTCTGAAGTGAGCAGCACACTTGTTGATCAGAAATAAGATGTTATTTTGTTTTTACATGGTATTTTGGTACTTTGGTTGTCGATTTTTCTCTGATTTTGAAAATTAATTTTCAGGAAAATGTTCCCATCATCGGTGTTATGTGCAACAAGGGTATGCGACCTCGTCATTGGTCCAGAATGTCTGAACTCATGGGCTTCGACATCACACCCAACGCAGGAACTACGCTTCGTAAAGTCCTTAAATTGGAAATTGCTCCTCACATGGAGATGTTCGAGGGCATCAGTGCAGCTGCCACCAAGGTAAAGAGATGAGCAATGACTTTTTAAACTATAAAACGTATATCATTAAAAAAATATGAGTTAAGAAGTTATAGATTAACATTTTGATGAACATTTCTTTCATAACCCCCACCCAACCCCCTTAACCCCCCAAAAATACATAAAGTATTTGGAACACTTATAAATGACTACTTTAAAGAAAATACTTAGTGGGACAAAATGTACCTTAGAAAGGATTTTCATTTACCACTTGCATGAGCAAAGCTATTATATACACAGTCATTGCTTAGTAAGAAATTAAATGCATTGTTAGCATTTGACACCAACTTTCTGATTGTGTTATAGGAACACTCCTTGGAGAAGGCCATGGCTAAGATGATGGAGGACTGGGACACCATTAACTTTAATCTGATCGCATACCGTGACACAGGAATCAGCATCCTGTCCTCAGTGGACGATATCCAGACCACACTGGATGATCAGATCGTAAAGACCCAGACCATGAGGGGCTCACCATTCATCAAACCCTTCGAAACAGAAATCAAGGTATGTTTGTTTTCACTGCTTTGGTAAAGAAAGCCCATCGTTTGAGATGAACTTCAGATTTTGAATTTTAATGGTTAGAAGGATGCCAAAAACATTTGAAAATGTCTTATAAGTCTTATTCTGCAAATGTGGCACTAGGTCCTTAAGTGGGCATATTTCTGATATATAGTCAATCAGTAACCTTTAATTATTTCATCATAATTGAAAAAAAAAAAATGATTTGCCAATCAGCTGATATATGAATGTTATTTTCTAGGAATGGGAGGAGAGGCTGCTGAGAATCCAGGACACGATTGACGAGTGGCTGAAGGTGCAGTCCCAGTGGCTGTACCTGGAGCCCATCTTCTCCTCCGAGGACATCATGCAGCAGATGCCAGAGGAGGGGCGACTGTTCCAGATCGTGGACAAAAACTGGAAGGATGTGATGAGGCACACCACCAAAGACCCCAAGGTGGGTCAAACAATAATATAGATTACTTCTACAACAGTACCATGTTTTCCTTAAGAAACAGCTATTGACAGCTTGAAAAAAAAAATGGCACTTTGAAATTTAAAGATCAAAAAGAAATTGTAAGGTTTAAAGAATTTGTCCCAAAACCTCAATCCAGTGCCTTTTACACCTGATATCTAATCCTTTGCTTTAAAATAAAAAGAAGACACTGTTGCAATCTAAATGAAAGGTTTCTTCTTGAGTTTGAAGATGTGCTATGGAACGATGTTCTTCTATTTCCCAGGTGTTGGTAGCAACCAATCTGCCAGGTCTGTTGGAAAAACTTCAAGACAGCAATGGTCTTCTGGATAAGATCATGAAGGGACTGAACGCCTACTTAGAGAAGAAACGTCTCTTCTTCCCACGATTTTTCTTCCTGTCCAACGATGAAATGTTGGAAATTCTGTCCGAAACCAAAGACCCACTTAGAGTGCAGCCGCACTTGAAGAAGTGCTTTGAAGGCATTGCCAAATTGGAATTTGATAGTAAACTGGACATTCATGCTATGTTTAGCAGTGAAGGAGAGAAAATCAAGTTGGTACAGACAATATCGACCTCGGAGGCCAGAGGGGCTGTAGAGAAATGGCTGCTGCAAGTACAGGATGTCATGTTGGCTTCTGTCAGGGATGTGTGTGCACACTCCATGGAGGTAGGTGTTCTGTAGCAGGTTGACTTGCTCTCTAAGTAGATTTTTTCTTCCAAATTTTATGACTTGTAAATTGACCAATTGTAAAGTGCTACTTGAATGACTTTAATATTTATTTCCTGTTGTGTAATTCATTTAACAAATTTGACATTGAATACTGATTGTTGATAAGATATTGTAATGAAGCAATTTTATCTATGATTGTCCTCTTTTTGTGTATCTGGGAAATGTAGACAGTGAGTTACACTTACAAAATACATGCATGCATCGTCAAAACACAGTTATATTTTAATGATAAACAGGCACTACATGTTGTTAAATGCAAGATGTTCTGTTGTAATGTAACAATATGAGGAATTTTTTAATGAAATGTTATTCGAGGTAGGTCATTGTGTTTTCAGTATCTTGGAAGCATAAGAGAGTCAAAGAGATGCAAAATTTGAATTAGATAAAATCAGAATACCAATGAAGAAGTGCTTCTTATTAAAGTTGTTTATATTTTCAGGCGTACGCCATTGAGGCGCGTATTGACTGGGTCCGAGACTGGCCCGGTCAGGTGGTCCTATGTGTGTCTCAGGCCTACTGGACACAGGAGGTTCACGAGGCCATCAGAGGGGGACCGGGGGGACTGAAGGATTACTGGGACAAACTGCAGGCCCAGCTGGGAGATATTGTGGTCCTGGTGCGAGGAAAACTCTCCAAACAGACGCGTACCACACTGGGGGCCCTGGTCGTCATTGATGTACACGCTAGAGATGTAGTGCTACAGATGGCTGAGAAGGGTAGGTTATTGCAATCTATTCTTTTTTTCTACACTGTATTTTTTCTTTATTATTCATTTGGCAATGCATAAAATATTTTGGATTTTCCATTTTTCCTATAAGATATGCTCTCACATACTTTTAATGTTGAAATAATATTTACTTGGGCCATTACAAAAAAAATGTACCCAATCTCATATACCATATACATGTACCTATTGTGAATAAATACTGTTTGATAATAAAAATCCTGGTGTATTCTCAAAGTATGAGATTAAAATTGGGAACTGTTTGAATTTACAGGTGTCTCCTCTGAAAATGACTTTGCCTGGTTGGCTCAGCTCCGCTACTACTGGGAGGAAGAAAACATGAGAGTCAGGATGACCAATGCTACAGTAAAGTATGCTTATGAATACCTAGGTAACACACCCCGATTGGTCATCACTCCACTGACTGACAGGTGTTACAGGACTCTGATTGGTGCATTCCATTTGAATCTGAATGGGGCTCCTGAGGGGCCAGCAGGAACTGGAAAGACAGAGACCACTAAGGATCTGGCCAAGGCTTTGGCTGTCCAGTGTGTGGTGTTTAACTGCTCTGATGGCTTGGATTACCTGGCTATGGGAAAAGTGAGTCATTTGTACTGTAAACATTATACATTTGGCTGTGTATTCTTTTTAGCGCCTTTGGCGAAAAAAAAACAACTTCCACTTATTTATGTACAACACTAAATGTCTTGCACACACAAGTAAGAAAGTTAAAAAATTGATATCCACTAAATATTGTATGCGCTGAATATAAAACATTTTCGGCATGTTGCTCAGGAAAATAGAACTCCCTTTGTACTGTTGAGATTTTTCTCTCAAATGTTTTTTACTATGCAGCTTTATATGCTGAACATGATAAAAATAACAACTCAAATGACTTGTGATTTTTTTTTATTTCAGTTCTTTAAAGGTCTGGCTTCAGCTGGTGCCTGGGCTTGCTTTGATGAATTCAACAGAATTGATCTGGAAGTCTTGTCTGTCATTGCCCAGCAGGTAATAATTTATTGGCATATTTCCACTTTGATTATATTCTTAGAATAAATGATTACATATGACTGTCACTATATTGTCAGTGAAACTGGCCTACTATATACTTTATAAATTACTTTGTGAAAATAAATCCTTCTTGCTTGTAGATTTTGTGCATCATCCGTGCCGTGAGAGCAAAGGTCGATGTCTTCATCTTTGAGGGCACAGAGCTGTCCCTGAATCCCAACTGTTACGTGTGCATCACCATGAATCCAGGTTATGCCGGCCGTTCGGAGCTTCCAGACAACCTGAAGGTGTTATTCCGGACAGTGGCTATGATGGTTCCGGACTACGCTATGATTGCCGAGATTTCCCTGTACTCGTTCGGTTTCCAGAATGCCAGGAACCTCTCTGTTAAGATCGTGACTGTGTACAGACTCTGCTCTGAACAGCTGTCCTCACAGTTTCACTATGATTACGGAATGAGGGCTGTAAAGGCTGTCCTGTCAGCTGCTGGAAATCTCAAACTCAGGTTCCCCGACGAGGATGAGGATATTCTGGTAAGATAAGACAAAAGATGAAGGGATGATTTAAAACTGATATTTTTAATTATTTCTGAAAAATTGATTGCAACTTTTAATTTAAAATTGCAACCAGTATTTGCAAAAAATGTAAAAATGCAACCAATATTTAGAAAAACCTTATTCTCGTAAACAATGTTCTTTGTATTTTGAAATAACCTATTGGAATGTTACTTGCTTTACATATTGATATATAGACAAAATTCATCAAGGTTAACCATATGACCATGACCTATATTTTCTGTGTTTCAGTTGCTGAGATCTATTATTGATGTCAATCTTCCCAAGTTCTTGTCCCATGACATTCCCCTGTTTAATGGTATCACATCTGATCTGTTCCCCGGGGTCAAGCTTCCAGAGGCTGACTACAAGGTCTTCTTAGACGCCATGACAAGAGTAGCGGCCAAGAAAAACCTACAGTTTGTGGATTTCTTCCGAGAGAAACTCATCCAGACCTATGAAATGATGATAGTCAGACACGGGTAAGGGGGAGCAACCTGGTGTTTTCAAAATAAAAAATTGTTGTGAAAAAAACTATGCATTGCACCATATTTTCTGCAAGTCTGAGCCAGAAACATTAAGGAGCTTTTTTCTGATCAAATTTTTTCATTTTATTGTTAAGAAACATTTCATTTTTTAGAAGTCATGAAGATATGCATGTAATATTCTTGCATAGGCAAATTCATGATCACAATTTTATCTTGTACCTAAATCTTTACATCCTTTTTTATAACATTTCAGCTTCATGTTGGTGGGTGAACCATTTGGCTGTAAGACAATGGTCATAGAAACACTGTGTGAGGGAATGACCTTACTGAATGAAGAGGGACATGATGAAGACTATGAGAAAGTCTTATACAGAATCATCAATCCCAAATCCATCACCATGGGTCAGCTGTTCGGACAGTTTGACCCCGTTTCTCATGAGTGGACAGACGGTGTAGTGGCCAATACATTCAGAGAATTTGCTTCTACTGACACTCCAGACAGAAAGTGGGTTGTGTTTGATGGACCAATTGATGCCTTGTGGATTGAAAACATGAATACAGTGTTGGACGATAATAAGAAACTGTGTCTGATGAGTGGAGAAATTATACAGATGTCAAATCCCATGAGTCTTATCTTTGAAACAATGGATTTAGCTCAGGCCTCGGTAAGCATAGCTCTTGGGAATTTGGTCATTTTCTAATATAAAGAGATGTTTAATGGGGATTCTGAACACTTTTGATTGAAATTGAGATTAAAATACATTTGTCCCTGAAGTGGAATATTAATTCTATATATTCTGCATTTTTGAAAATCAAAATTGCTTGAATAAATTCTCCTTTTCCAAATGGATTAACCATACAATGTATATATACAAAATTTTGATGGAAAGTTCCTTTTGCTCTCTCTATCAGCCAGCCACAGTGAGTAGATGTGGTATGGTGTACTTAGAGCCCACTACCCTGGGCTGGCGACCAATAGTCAAGTCCTGGATTGAAGCCTTTGGAGAAATCATGGCGCGGGAGTCTGGTGAAGTTGTCCATGACATGTTTGAATGGCTGGTCGATCCTTGTCTAGACTTTGTCAGGAAAAATACTAAAGTACGATTTTAATGCATATTTTTTAACCTCTTAGTTGATAATAAAGAAATCAAGAGAAAATTTTTTTTTTAAATTTACTATGAAATTATGTACCCTGTACATTTAAAAGAACTTGAAGGTGAAAGTCTGATGAAGAAGGATGCAAAAATATCCCATAAGAGAAGCTAAGACACAAAAAAACCCCTTTGTACTGAGTTACCAAAGACAATTCTGTTATTTTACAGTAAAACATGCTTTCAACAATGTATTGAGAAACATCTATCAATTTGCAGGAGTATCTAGGGTCAAAACAGGCCAATCAGGTCCGATCTCTGATGTACATGATAGACATGTTGATGTCTGAGACACTGAGCAAGGAGGATGCTAATGAAAATAAGCACATCAAGAACTACACCATGGTAATTTTCATTTTACATTGCAATTCTATGAATAAATGTCCAAGAATCATCAAATATAAACATTCATTTGACAAAAATTGAACATTTTGGTTTCCCCTCGTTTCAGAGTGCCATGATTTTCTCCATCCCGTGGAGCATTGCTGCTGTTGTAGACAATGATGGCCGACAGAAGTTTGACACGTTCTACAAGGAACTGCTGGGTGGAAAAATTGACAGTGCCCCTGTACCTAAATCAGTGGGCAAATTTGATGTCCCCATGCCAGAGGCCATGAACTGTTATGATGTCTTCTTTGAGGTGAATCTATTGAAAAATATGCCCCAACTCCCCAAATTTTTAAATTTTTTGTAGACTTTATGGGCTACAAAAATGTTATAGAATTGACACAAAAAACTTGACGTTCATTGAGTGAAAGAAGTACATGTAACAGAGAATTATACAGCAATGAATAAAAATTGCTCTTTTTCTGTTTCAGTTTAAGGCCAGAGGTACCTGGCACCACTGGAATGACCTCATTAAAGGTCAGGAGAGTAAAGCCAAGAAAATCCGAGAAATGTTGGTCCCCACCATGGACACTGCCAGATACACCTATCTGTTATCTCTCTGTATTGAACATGACAGGTGGGTCTCCTTAACGAGGCTGGGGGGTGGCAGCCATTTTCAGACTATTTCTATCTCCTTTAAAAGGAGAGCTCCATATAAAGATATAGAAAATGATCAAAATTTAAAACTAAAATTTATGATTTTTTTCAAATGAATGTGGGATCTATCTAAAAAAATAAGTTAAATCTGGTGGTTACTTTATGGTTAAATTGTTGACCCCCCAGCCTCCTTAAACATAGAGAAAAACCTCAGAATCATTTAATATCTGTCAGTGGATATTATATGTATTAAGAGGCTGAGCCAAATGAAATAGTTTTTGAGGACATAAAGCATATACCTGATCCTTATATTTACATTATATTCTGTATGAAATACTCAGAAAAGTTTTATGTAGTGCTATAAAATTTTATTCAGTTCTTATTAAAAACTTAATATGCACTAAATATATTCAGTACAAAATTTTCAAAACGTGTATATGATACAAAAAAGTTCCAATGTATTTCAGACCCATCCTGTTTGTGGGCCCTACTGGTACTGGTAAGAGTGTGTACGTCCAGGACAAACTAATGAACCACCTAGAGAAGGACAGATATCTCCCAGCCTTCGTCAATTTCTCCGCCCAGACGAGTGCTAACCAGACCCAGAACATCATCATGTCACGTCTGGACAAGAGGAGGAAGGGGGTGTTCGGACCACAGATGGGGAAGAAGGCTATCATCTTTGTTGATGATCTCAACATGCCCCAGAAGGAGGTTTATGGAGCCCAGCCCCCTATAGAGCTACTGAGGCAGTATATTGATCACGGATACTGGTATGTTATACAGCTGCCTTATTAATTAAAAAGTAATAATACTAATCTCACAACGGGACAGGAATGTATTGAATGTACATGTGTAAAAAATGCATCCTGCACTTAATGAAAATTTCTTATTGACTTGGAATTCTTAAAATACAATGCTCAAAAGTCTAGAAAGTAGTGTTAAGTTTAAAGATGATTTCAAGCCACTTCCAAATTTTTCTAATTATGAATGTTTATGAAAAGATTGGTTACTTTTAATTACATGCATTAATTAAGCCTAAAAATAAGAGGTATAGTGAATGTTTTTATGATGAAGGTTTGATAGTTTTTATAAAGAAGTGTATGTTTGTTTTAGGTATGACTTGAAAGATACCAGCAAGATAACACTACAAGACGTCCTGTTCTTGGCGGCCATGGGACCACCAGGTGGTGGCAGGAACGATGTCACCGCACGATTCTTACGTCATTATAATATCGTCGGAATAAATCCATTCAGTGAAGAAACCATGATTAAGATTTTCTCTATTCTTTTGACTACCTACTTAAGGGTTAGTGTTAGATTATGATATTTACAACTGTTAAATGAAATCCTTATGAAGAAATTATTATCTCTCTGGATCATGATTCAAAAAATTTCAAGCAACTGCTGGTTCAAAGAATGAAAATATTTTACTCATTAGAAAACATTTATTCTAAAGTTATTTTGACAAGTTTCCATTTTAAAGAAGATTGAAGTGAACAAAGCTCAATACAGTCATTTTGTGCAATTGTCTAAACGTTTCAGTTTTTCTCAGATTCTCATTAATTATTAATATCTTTTTTACAGCAAGGAGAATTTTCTACGGAGTATTATGCCTTGGGTAACCAGATTGTAGCAGCCACCAATGACATGTATAAGCAGGCTATAGCTAACCTATTGCCGACACCAGCTAAATCCCACTATGTCTTTAACTTGCGAGATTTCTCCAGAGTCATTCTTGGAATCTGTTTAATAAAGAAAAATGAGGTGGAAAGCAAGAGAACTATGATTAGGTAAGGAATCCGCTTTTATTTAGTAATACCTTAAAGTTTGTTTACACAAGTCAACATATGTTTGAAAAAAAAAAAATCAACTCCCTAATCTATATGCATTCACAAGCATAAAAATTAAGAGAATACATTGCATGTGTTAATTGACAAACTTTGAATGATTTAGATTGGAGCTATGAGGCAATGACTATATGTCTTAAAAATTTTTCAGATTGTGGGTACATGAAGTGATGAGAGTGTTCTATGATCGTCTGACAGATGATGCTGATAGAGCCTGGCTATTTAAGTTTGTATTTGTTATGGAGTTTTCCAGATTATTCAAAACTAAGAATCATCTGTATATGTACTCTAAACTTGGGATTTTTATCCCCTCTTTTGCTTTATTGCTCAAGTATTTAACAAATCTAGATGTTAGTTAATTCAATTAAACTAAAACATGAAAGAATAAAAGAAAATGCATGCATAAATGTGAACTGAAGAGGCATTTAAGAAAAAAATATATATTTAAATTTTTTTTTTTGTAATTTGCATGGGCAAAGTTTACTATATTCACTGATTTTTTAAATTTATTTACATGCATTTTGACAATAAATGATTAAAAATACTGTATTAATTTTAAATTTGATGACTTTGTGAATTTTAGGAGCACAGGCAGTGTATGTAAGGAATACTTCAAGGAGAGTTTTGATGTCATCTTTGAACACTTGGCAGGAGATGGCACAGGCGAGGGCAAGGTAACAATGGTTTAATAAAGAGGAACAAATTAACTTGAAAACTGATGTTAGTTATTATATTGTTTCATCAGTCTTTTGGTGTTGGTACATGTTCCAGGTTTATGTAAAGAAGACTTTGGATTAATGTATTCTGATTATAGATTGAAAGTATTAAATGCCTATTATAAATATTTATCTTGATTATTTTCTTTTTAACATTATGATATTAATTTTTTTTATCATTTAGGGTGTAAAGGTGAGTTTTTGTCATTTCTCATTGCCAGAATGACAAGTATATAATCTTTATAATATAAATTTTCAAGTGCTCTGGCTTAAAAGGAAGATGACCAATAGATTAATTAATTTCAAACTTGATATAAAATCATTAACTTGATATAAAATCTATTAAATTTTCGCGATCAAGCCTTTTTGGATCTAAATTTTATAAACTGCTTTGATTTCTCGCAGTTGGTTTAAAATTTTGATAGAAAATTTTCATTGCAAAGTTGCTAAAAAAGGATTCTTTTCTATAATCATTAACTATCATTTTTTTTTAAAACCCCTATCCAAATGAAAAGATTTCTTATTTTTAACTTATTTTGATTGCTATTAATTAGCCAAAGGTAAGACAATGGCTGTTCTCTATCTGTATAGACTAGAGTGAGAGCTTCAGTAGATATACTTAATGAGAGCTTGCTTATAAATAAACAAGAAATTTTGAAATTTATTCAGATGTAGATCAGAAATTAGCTACCGGTATATAATTAGTATCTAGTGACATAGACAATCAGAGATTTATCATTCAGCTAGATTCTAAACTAGTAGTAAATCTGTGATCTAATCTATACTCCATCACTGGTAGAGTGGCAGGATATGTACATAATGTATTTTGAACCAGACTGAGTGTTAACATGTTTAGTTACCAATCATGCCAATAGATAGAATCTTGTTATAATGTCTTAGAAAAGATAGAAATTTCACAAAAACCAGAGCTTTGATTAATAGATTATGCTTCTATAATTCTCTGTTGACACATGCAAATGTTTAAACCCAGATATTTCCCAATCATTAATAGACTTCTTTAAATTTGTACTCTTAGACTAGTGAAATTTGTTGTATTCTATTTTTCAACGTATGTTAGATTGAAAACAGATACTGGCCTTTAATATTGGCATAAGTTAGAAGAGTGTTTAGAGTAAAGTGATTTTATTATTAGAAATCTGAGTTTGACATATCACCAAGGATCCAGTTTTAATTTATAGAACTAAATTACCGGTAAATGGGATAATTTTCTTGTACAATATTGTTGAATAAGAGGTTTTGATATCAACTATACTGTACAATACCTGTACTTGTAGGTTCGTGAGGAGGATCTAAGATCTTTGATGTTTGGGGATTACATGAACCCTGACGCGGAGGCAGATGAGAGGGTGTACCTTGAGGTCACGTCTCTGGATGAAATGTACAAAATTGTAGAACAGTGTCTAGAGGAATACAATAATACACATAAAAACAGGATGAATCTTGTTATATTTAGGTATGTCTAGCTCAGATCTGTCTTTCACAATCTTAATTGTGAATATACATTATATAATCTAAATTCAATTACAAATATTTGGGTTAAAATATGAACATTGAATGTAACATTGAAAAGTTTAAGATTTTAAAAAATTGACCCCATTAAGATATGATATAGTTACATATACATATTACAATGCGATAGTGTGTATGTTTAGTAATATTTTATTGTCTGAATACTACTTTTTCCTAGATATGTGCTTGAACACTTGTCCCGAATTTGTCGAGTTTTACGTATCCCAGGAGGCAATGCTTTACTGGTGGGAGTGGGTGGTAGCGGACGTCAATCTCTGACCAGGCTGGCTACTGCTATGGCTGGATACAATCTGTTCCAGCCAGAAATCTCTAAAAATTATGGCAAAGTAGAATGGAGAGAGGACATTAAGGTAACAATTTACTAATAAAATACACGGTACACAGTTGGCGAATGCTTCTGTAAAGACTGCTTTTTCTCACAAAGTAGGAAAGAAAGAAGAGAATACGAGGGGTGTTAGAAAAGTTCGCAGACAAGTTCTATTGTGAGCGCGCTATTTCCACGAAAACGGTCAAACTTTCCAGATAAAATCTTAACATATTTTCCAATAAATATACAAAAATTTGGTGCTCTCCGATGATCATTGAAAAATATACGGCTTTTTAAATTTGATAAATCTTGCTTCACGGAGCATGCTCCATTTTGGCACGTTTACATTACAAAGAATCTTTATTAAAATTAAAAATTGCACAATTGCAGCGCGCAGAGATTTATGATATTTTACCTATCGCTAAAGTATACATAAAACGTCACCTGGAGAAATTTTGAATTAAATTGGAGGGTATATGACTGTTTTATAGCCATTTATAAATGATCAACACGTAAAAACACAGCCAAAAATCGGAACGTCATTGAGCGTCATGGAGCACTGCACTATACGTAAAAATTATGTGTGTAGTAAAATGTCTAAAAAGAGATTAAAACTTTCAAGATGCTGCCGGGAATTTCCTACGCACACAGAGGACAAAAGTTTTCAAATGGTTGTAATTTCATATAAATGGAAGGATTAAAATTTTGAATGATAATCGATACTTCTATAGCCTCTTATCGCATGGACGTTGTGCCTGTATGGTTTTGCATAGTTTTCGTACCTGATCAATTGACTGCATAGACGTTTTTACAGATCTCAAAAATATCCGAATCAATACAATCCGAATTAGTACAAAAGACATTATGGTAGAAAGGTAACATGTCTTGATATAGATATTCAATTTTAAAGTAGAAAAAAGATAAGAAAAATCCGAGAAAAGGAAAGTACTGCGACAAAGCATAACGGATTGAAATCTTGTTGTCACGTCGCCTTACGTCTAGGGATTGTTCCGTGAATCCTATGACCTCATAGTAAAAATCGTTGTAAATTTTCAAGATTTTAGTAAATGGACCTGATTTTTTACATACTAATAAACAAAATGTAGGAATTAATTCAGACATAGGTCATACTTCACAGTACACAACAGATTTTCCGTAATTCAATGTGTCCGCGAACTTTTCTAACAACCCTCGTATATATAATTTTCTTCATTTTTTAAAAATTTTTAAATGGTAATTTGATGTGAGTTTTATATTTGTGTGTGTTTGGGGGGGGGGGGGGGGGGGGGGGGGGGGGGAGGTTGTTATTTTCTCTGTTAACTAGAAAATTAAAGTAATCCCTCTTTGTTTTGTAGTCTGTATTGACAAGCTGTGGAGCCCAGGGAAAGACAACTGTGTTCCTGATCACAGACACTCAGATTAAGGAGGAGTCCTTCTTGGAGGATATTGATAACTTATTGAACACAGGAGAAGTCCCCAATCTGTTTGCTGCTGACGAGAAAGCAGAAATCATGGAGGTGAGTTGCGTACACTTTAAAAAGAGGAGGGTAAATTGACAAAGTAAAATTTTTAAAAATGTCAAGACAATTTTTCTTTTATTTTCTTTTTATATGTACTTGGTATAAGAATAAAATTTTTAAAAAAGAATTGGGAGAAACTTTTGTAAATAAATTGAAATTCTAATCTATGTGAGATACAAAGTAGGATAATTCATTCTACAAAAATGATGTTCAGAGTTCTTGACATGAAGACTTTAAAGTGTGATAGAGTATATATTATATTATCAAATTGAATATACTAACGTGCCATTTTCTATATTTAAGGCTGTAAGACCACATGCCCAGGCTGGAGACAAGATGGCTGACTTCAGTCCCTTGGCATTGTTTGCCTTCTTTGTAAACCGTTGTCGTGAGAACCTACATATCATCATTGCCTTCAGTCCTATTGGAGATGCCTTCAGAAACAGACTAAGACAGTTCCCCGCCCTCATTAACTGCTGCACCATTGACTGGTTCCAGGTTTGTACTGTTCTTAAACTGAATTCCTCCTTCATCTTAACGTCACACCTGGACAACTAACCTCTTCATGAAAGCAAATTCATTCGATCTAAATATGTTTATGTAAATTAGTAAATATGTTATAAGTAATCCTACTGAATCAATCTTACTAAGTATGGTAAATAAACTCTGAAGGATGTTAATTACATCAGTTAATGAACATGGCTATTTTTATAGACTTGGCCAGATGATGCCTTGGAGAGAGTAGCCAATAAATTCTTGGAGCAGGTCGAGCTAGCAGACAATGAACGTAAGGAGACCACACACATTGTCAAGTATTTCCATCAGAGTACCATCAGATTGTCTGATAGGTATTTCTCAGAACTGGGCCGACATAATTACGTCACTCCTACATCATATCTGGAGTTGATCAACTCTTTTAAGAATTTACTGTCCACGAAGCAAGATGAGACCATGAAGGCCAAGAGGAGATATGTGGTGGGATTAGAGAAGCTGGCTTTTGCTGCTTCACAGGTAAATCACCGTGGATTGCTCAGTCTCAAAGATCAGCACTATAAACACTTTATATATGTACACATAATTCATAATTATATCAGTAAAAAAGCATACTGCTTTCCAAATTTTTATTTGAATTATAGATTTTTTAGCAATAAATGCCAAATTAAAAATGCAAAAAAATTGTACAGATTTAAAAACAAAAAATGAAGCAAAAATTCTTATGTTTTTTTCTAAGCATTGGTAAATTTATGTAGGGTTGATGGACTCTCATTGACTTCACTTCTCTGTGTGTTTAAAGGTAGCTACCATGCAAAAAGAACTTGAGGAACTACAGCCTCAGCTGGTGGTGTCCCAGGAGGAGAACGCCAAGATGATGGTGGTCATCGAGAAGGAGTCGGTAGAGGTGGAGGCCACCAGTAAGGTGGTGCGAGCAGACGAGGCGGTGGCCAACGAGCAGGCCGCTCAGGCTCAGGCCCTCAAGGACGAATGTGAGGCAGAATTAGCCGAGGCCATTCCTGCTCTGGAGGCTGCCTTGGCTGCCTTGAACACACTCAAGGTTAGAGAATGCCTGAATAGGCCAGTCTTTTAGGACTCAAAATTTTTCATATGGGTTATGATGATAAAATTAAACTTGAAGGAAAACAGTTGAACTTCAATGTCTTGAACACTGGTATCTTGAATACCATGGATAAGTTCAAGTGGTTTGGAAGTCCCAACCACATATTGTTAAATATTCAACCCATAATATCATAAATTTTGGGATATCTCGATGTTGTTTCTCAGTCCTATCAAGTTTAAGATAATGTTTTATTGAATATTAATTTTATTATCTTTTACAGCCACAAGATATCACCATTGTGAAGTCTATGAAGCAGCCCCCAGCTGGTGTCAAGCTTGTCATGGCCGCTGTGTGTGTAATGAAGGACATCAAACCAGACAAGATTAATGACCCCGATAAACCAGGACAGAAGATCCTCGACTACTGGGGACCCTCCAAAAAACTGCTGGGAGACATGAGCTTCCTGAGCATGCTTAAGGAGTACGATAAGGACAACATCCCTGTAAGTGTTGGAAGAGTCAGTGGCTAGCAATGAAGTTCTTTGAAAAAGGGGTTAAAGTAGGGGAGATAAACTATAAATGGGTTTTCAAAGTTGAAAAAATTAGATTATGAATGCTGAAAAGAAAAATGCCTTTAAATGATACTTATTAGAATATTTGTATTGTACATAATTCATTCAAAATTCTTAAATTCAAACATTTGAAATGATATGATGGATAAACGTTTTGAAAATATTTGTCGGGGAAGTGTCATAATTGGCTTTGAAATATATTTGCCATTTTTTTTGCCTTTTTAGGTCCATGTTATGCAGAAGATCAGGAAAGAGTACATTTCTAACCCTGAGTTTGACCCTGCTAAAGTGGCCAATGCCTCCTCTGCTGCAGAGGGTCTGTGTAAATGGATCATGGCCATGGAAATCTACGACAGGGTAGCCAAAGTGGTGGCCCCGAAAAAGGTCAAATTAGCCGAGGCCGAAGCCGAGTTGAAGACAACCATGGACCAACTGAACAAGAAACGTGCTGAACTGGCAGCTGTAGAAAAACGCTTGGCTGATCTCCAGGCCACGTTCAAAGAGATGACTGACAAGAAGGAACAGCTGGAATTCCAGGTGGATCTTTGTGGAAAGAAGTTGGAGAGAGCCAAGAAGCTGATTGGTGGACTTGGAGGAGAAAAGGCTAGGTGGACTGCAGCCGCAGAGAATTTACAGAACATTTATGATAACTTGGTGGGTGATGTCTTGATATCGGCTGGTGTCATCGCGTACTTGGGACCTTTCACTATGGCCTTCAGAGAACAGTGTACAGTGGACTGGGTGAAAGTCTGCACAGTAAGTCAATTCTTCTTTGTAAGTTAAAACTTAACTTTCTACTGAAAATAGCATATTGCACTATCTAACTTCTGCAAAATTAGAAATAGCTTCTTAAAATATATAATAGTCCCCTTGCATTTTAATTGGGACATTGATAAAATTTAACTTTATTTTTTTATTACAATCATGAATATAGTCAATATACCATGACTCTACATGCTTTTTTGCAATGCAGGATAGACAAATCCCTTGCTCCCAGGAATTCTCTCTCAGCAAGACTCTTGGAGAGCCAATCAAAATCCAGGCCTGGAATATCTTTGGATTGCCAAGAGATAGTTTCTCCATTGATAATGGTGTCATTGTAGCCAACTCAAGGAGATGGTAACTATCTTTTTTTAGTACTAGATGTACTTCAGTATCTAAAATTGGCTTATCTGAATTCAACTATGTATTTATTAATTTAGGTTTTGGAAATAGACTTGTCTAATATTTTGCTAACAATGTCTATAATTTAGCCTTGAGTAAATTTCTGATTATCTGAATTATCTAATGTTATATGGGTTATTTATGAAAGGATGTTCAATATTTGAAAAAAAATAAATTTAACTATTAAATAAAAACCTCTTTATTTCAAGGCCTTTGATGATTGACCCTCAAGGTCAGGCTAATAAGTGGGTCAAGAACATGGAGAAAGAATTCAAACTGTCAGTGATCAAACTGACCGATTCTGACTACATGAGGACCCTGGAGAATTGTATCACCTTTGGGAACCCCTTACTGCTGGAGAACGTGGCAGAGGAGCTGGACCCCTCCCTGGAGCCTCTCCTTCTGAAACAAACATACAAACAAGGTCAGTACAAATAGGTCAACATTACTGGGTAGTACAAAAAGGTCAAAATTAATGTAAGTACAAAAAGGTCAAAAATACTGGTTGCTGAAAAAGATTTAAGATTCTGTATATATGTGGACTTTTAAGTGATTACATTACTATTTCTAAGGGTTCTTTGGTGAGAACTTCATCCAAGTAACAAAATAATTCAAAGACCATTATGTTTTCGTCAAGCTGTTTTTTTGTAATTTTTTAAAGCACTTTTTAACATTACACAGCTGGAGTTGACATGATCAAGATTGGTGAGAATGTGATTGAGTACAGTAAGGACTTCAGATTCTACATCACCACTAAACTGAGGAACCCCCACTACCTCCCCGAAATCGCAGTCAAAGTGTCCCTCCTCAACTTCATGATCACCCCAGAGGGTCTGGAGGATCAGCTGCTGGGAATTGTGGTCGCTAAAGAAAGGTGGGTAGAGGAAATAATTAGAAATTCTGAACACATTGAATGCCTTTGCACACTCTCTCTGATGCTTGTATGCTGTAATACAGCTTAGCATTTTAGTACAATATGTGTGTCTGTAGTAAAAAAATTTTGTGATATTTTATCTATTTTTCTAAAGAATCAACAAATTACAACCCAAGCATGAAATTTTGTTAAAAATAAAATTACACGGAGAGTTGACGTGATTGTTTAAGAAAACACTTTTTTCTTATTTTTGAATTTTCATTACAGACCAGAGTTAGAAGAGGAGCGTCAGGCCCTGATTGTACAGAGTGCCGCCAACAGAAAGGCCCTGAAGGAGATTGAGGACAAGATCCTCCACACTCTATCTGCCTCCGAGGGCAACATCCTCGAGGATGAGTCAGCCATCAAGGTCCTTGACTCCTCCAAAATTCTCTCAGATGAAATCTCCAAGAAACAGAAGGTATAGTCCTCAGTGTTTAGGAGTCCCTGTGAGAAATTATTTGTAAATTATGACTGCTTTGTAAAATCTAGTAATAGGGTTGTCAACTTGTTAACATTTTGTCTCATGGATTCAATAGGAACAGATTTTGTTATTAGTAGAACTTTGTAATGTTATAATTATAAATCTGTTACATTGATTACAGATTGCTATTACAATTGTATTGTAATTACAAATCTATTACATTTATTACAGATTTCTATTACAGTTGTAATGTCATAAATAAATTATATTAATTACAGACTGGTATTATTTTTTTAATGTAATTACATATCTAATACATTTAATACAGATTTGTGTTACATTTGTAATGTAATTACAAATTTATTACGTTGATTACAGATTGCGGAGGAGACAGAACAGAAGATAGACACCAGTCGTATGGGCTACCGTCCCATCGCCAAGCACTCCTCTATCCTCTTCTTCTCCATCGCTGATCTCCCCAACATTGACCCCATGTACCAGTACTCCCTGACCTGGTTTGTCAACCTCTACATCATGTCCATCCAGGACAGGTAGGTCACCAGTTCTATTTTTAGACCTTCAGGAAAAATAATTCATGGAAGATCATAGAAATTTTTGTTCAGTTTTTAAAAAATCGTAGAAATTTGTTAGCAGTTTCACTTTAAGATTTAATGATATACTGAGTATATTATGCATTTGATTAAATACATGTATTTCAACTGTATTGTATTAAACTGTTGTATTGTACTTTGAACTTGTTTTTGATTGTTTTTTTGTCAACATGTTTGTTAACTAAATTTTATCAGCAGCCCATTGCAGTTGGTCTATGGATCTTGACCATTCTGAGCAGTAATATTTGCAAAGATTATCTTTTACCAATCAGTTATACATTTCATCATGTTCTATATGTGTGTGGAAAACATAATACAAAATATACATTTCACATCCTTAAATACTTATATCTGGGAAACATAAAGTCAAACAATCAAGTCATTATAATAAAACTCTTTTCATTATCATCCTTATCATAAACCCCTCCTTTTATAACACTGTTGTGCATTTAATTACAGCAATAAATCCAAAATACTAGAACGTCGCCTCCGATACCTCAAGGATCATTTCCAGTATCAGCTCTATGACAATGTGTCACGCTCAATTTTTGCCAAACACCGTGGTGTCTTTACCTTTATACTGTGTGCAAACTTACTTTTGTGAGTAACTGTATATAAAGCACATATGTAGACAGAATACATATTTATATTTAGGTCTAGCTCTCTGTAGCTCTTCTGTGGAAGGAGGGGGGAAAATGCATGTGACGTCTCTTCACACTTGTATTACTCACTTACGTACAATTGCTGACTCTCTCTCTGTTGCTCATTTAAATGAAAATATTGTGAAGATTTCAGATATATTTGGTATGTTCTAATTTAAAACAGTATTTTTTTCATGCACATAATATTTACATATTAGATCTTATTATAATTTTTCCAATACCCAGATCTTTGAAATCTTCACTTTTGCATGCTTCATTTAAATGTGACATAGACACAAATGTATCTGTTAAGGGGGGACCTATGTCGTTCTACGTCAAAGCAGCGTTATGTGACGTCACAATAGCGACGTTTGTTTTTACCTGTTACTTTTGCAACTGTGATATTGGCATAAAGTTGTTAATGATCAATAACGTACACAATTTACAAAAAGAAAATTTATTCATCATTAATAACAGTTTTATTTGAATTATGGATTTTGTTAATATTAGAATTCTCTTCCTTTGGTTGAAAATTCATAGCAATTTCAGTTGTAAAGAAATACCTCGATGATATGGTGATATATAAATGCAAAAAGATAACTTAATTAAGATAAAATTCAGCAAAGAAAGCGGCATAAATCAGGGAAATATGTTTAATTTTATGTGTACCATTAATTGTATTTTCTGGATAAAACTAAGAAAAAAATGAAAAAATGTGCTTTTACCTATATTTGCTTATTGGTTTTTAGTACATGTAGATTTTATTGCATAAAGTCATTCCTAGGTTCTTGTAGGTGTTGGTTGTTGACGGGGAAATGGAGGGGGGAGAGAAACAGAATGATTGGAATGAAGAAGAAAGTATTAATCTGTTTAAATTGCTTCTAATCAAAACAAAATACTCGTTTTTCGCAAAATAGTCTTATATTCAGATGGTTAACTGTGCTTACTTACCATTCTTTTAGTGCAGAAAGGTCAATTTTTATGACACAAGAGTGCGAAAATAAAAGAAAACGTCATATTTCTCGTTTATTTTATCATAAAGGTATACTTTTTTCTTTGTTAAAATAAAGAGATGAATCATTTCTTTCCAAAAATATGAATTACAACATTTTCACACAAAGACTTTTTAAGATATTACCTGTTATGCATGTCGGAATTGTAAAAAATACGACAAGAAAATTGGGGTGATACGTACATTGTGCTCCCTTATAATTTTTCATGCGAGATGAATTACAATGAATTTATCTTCATTTTAAAGATACAAGTCATATAAATTAAATACCTATTGATTTTTAATGCGATTTGACATTTTTGGCTCTTTTAGCGCATATTTGGGGTAGAACAATAATGTCTGAAAATAATCTATTTTTAGCAATTCACACTGTTTTTGCCCGTGCTCTTATGTAAAAATAAGCATATAAAGGTACTGTTTTTAATACCTAAAAATTAAGAGCAAGTGGTCAGGAAAGAAATGTCAAAGTTTCGAAAATTTCACACAAAGACTTTTCGGACATAGGTCCCCCCTTAAACACACGTATGTAGCTATAATGTAACTTCTCTCCTCTGCTACTTTTTTTTTCAGGAAAATGATGTCAAGATTGAAAAATTGCTATATCATTATTGCAATGAAAATTCATTAGAATATTTATTTGCAAAGAAAAGAGTGGGTGGGTTGCGGGATTGAATATAGTTATGTAAATCAATGTATAGATCGAACTATCAAGTTGTAATTAAAGAACTATACTGTACCTGCTTACATGGATTCCATAGTGGTTATGAATTATTTTGACATCATTTAAACACACAGGTACAATGCAGCTACAGCAACCAGCGGAATCTATCATCCACGAGCAACACTGCTATCACAGCAACCCCTATTTCTTCACTTTTTTCACATTTTAGTTATATTTCTGAATGTGTCTCGTTTCAGCAATAAATCCAAGATCTTGGATCGGCGTTTGCGTTACCTGTCAGACCACTTTACATACAGTCTGTACTGTAATGTGTGTCGCTCCCTCTTTGAGAAAGACAAACTTCTTTTCTCTTTCATTCTCTGTTCCAATATGTTGCTGTAAGTATGAGTTGTTATACCTGAGAGTGCTTTATATTGAATTTCATTTGAACAATTTTTTGAAATTGCTGTTTCCAGTTTGAAGTTGTGTTTTGATTAATCCCCAATGTTCGATTTCAATTTTATTTCATGAACCTAATAATTGTTAAATTTGTCTTGTTTTTTTCCATCAAGAGAAATGTGAATTTTATCAGTTTTTCCTAAAAAAAATTGTTGTCATATGTTATTGTTTGTTTTGAAATTATTGTGATTTGAATTGATTTTGAAGTATTTTAAATAATACCTAATTTATTTTGAAAAGTGTCGGGTATGTCTTTTAAGATTTTTTTTTAATAATACTTAGTACCCTAACTGCTTCATCAATTATTGTTTTTGTTTGCTCCCCTGAATCAGTTGAGTGACCTCCCTTTTATAATTGCTTTATCTTAGCAACTTAATTAACGACTATCAAATTTGTCCCATCATAATTACATGTACCACATACTAGATGTGTATCCCATACTAGCAATGAACTGATTTCAACTGATTTATATCGGTGCTGGTGGAAATTGAAACGGAAATCGAAGGGAATTGAGTGCACCTCTGGCAAGAGTGCTGCTGGCATTGCTGTGAACAGATTTCTCTTATTTCTTTATCCTCTGCACCTGTTCTTCAATATTTAAATTCTCATACTATTACTTCTTTGAGCATTTTAGCCTTTCACTTCAGTAAATCACATATATTTTGACCTTTTTGCAAGAAAATTTGGCATTCAGTCATATTCACAAAAAAAAAAAAAAATGGTTAACTGAAACTTTATTTTCATGATTAATGACCTCACAATATTGCATGAAAATAAAGTTTGCCTCCCAAAAATGTGATTTACAGTTATACAGTAGCTCTTCCTTTATTTCTTTGCTATACTCAACTTAAATTTATAGATCTGTGTGTGATTGTGTGCTGAATTTGAAATTTTATAATTAGCGAATTGCTGAGCTGCTTCAGTTATTTCAGCTTAATTAAGAGATAATCTGCTATATATCTTTCATAATTGTTAAAATCTTTAAAATAAACAGATTGACGCTTTTGTCAGTTATCTCTAATTTAAGTAAATTGAACCAGTATCTTAAATATTTTCATGAATTAATTATCAAACTGAACAGATTCAATTTTCTGTAAATATTTAAAGCAAATTTATTGACAGTTACTGTAATATATTTATAAAGCTGTTAAAAATTATTTTAATATACATGTAATTATAAATTAAAGTTTAATATTTTATATTAAAAAAAAACTTTTCAAGAGTTCTTTAAAAAAAATTTCTTTCATAAAATTATAATATGGTATTCATGAATTGAATAAAAATCCGAAGAAAATAGCATATTTTAATGAAAACCTTTGCTACACAGCTCATGGTGGTTTAACAATTTAAATCATGTTTTAATCTTTCCCTTTAAGTATTTCCAAAGATGCTAATATTGTGTCATAAAATTGTACTTTTACCAATGGTTCATGTTTTTCCTGACTGGAGGTGTAGGCTTTTGAAAACCTAAAAATGTGTATTTTATAGCACACTTTTAGGATCATCTTTCCAAAAAATGGAGAGAAGACCCACCCATATTGAAAAATTTTGTTTAAGTATGAGAAAATGATCGTTTTTGTTCATTTTAGTGTGTGTAAGCATTTTCATAGAAATTTTTCAGGTGAGATTTTTGTAAATTGAGAGATTTTACATAAAGTATACTTTAATATTAGGAAATTGTAAAATTTGTTTTTATTTTGATTTTAATTTGTGACACTTTTGAAGAAGCACATTTTTGAAAGCAATAATATTTTGTTTTTTGCTTGGATATCTTAATCAAAAATGGTGAAACTTGGTATTGATGTTATAACTTACATTGATTTTGTAGAGAAAACTTTATATTTTAATGATAACCTTTCTACCTTTTAATGGTTTAACATCTCATATTTTAATTTTTCCGTGTAGAGAACCTCACCAATGAGTTCATGTTTTTCCTGACTGGCTTAGGCAGGAGAACAAACTCAATGACTTCCAGAGGATGATCATCTTAAGGGTCATAAGGCAGAAATTCAGGTAATGTATCTTACTTGTATAATCATATTTATGATTTTAATTTGTGACACTTTTGAAGAAACACATTTTTGAAAGCAATAATATTTTGTTTTTTGCTTGGATATCTTAATCAAAAATTGTGAAACTTGGTATAGATGGCACATTTCATTGTAAATGTCTCAGTGAATAGAAATTGATAGCACTATGTGTATTACTATGTCATACAGGGATGGGATTTACAATGAAATGTATAATTTTTGACTTCCAGAGGATTTTTTTAAGGCTAGATTAATTTATGCTGTAAAAGGAAACCTTAGGGTCAAATATACTGTTGCAATTACTGACCAATTGTTAGCATATTGTATAGGTTTCATGTCTCACTGTAAATGCCCAATTGAAAAACTTGCAAATTCCTTAAAAACTGGGCAGTGTCAAAGGGAAAAAACTATTACATAAAGCAAAAATTGATATCGAAGTTTAACAAGGCACATTCTTAAAGAAAATTTCAATTTGGACCTTATAGATAAAATTTTGTTGTTTTGGGAAGGAGGAAAACAAATGTTCATAAAATCTTTATATTTGATCCATTATAGGTGAATCCAGCCATCACTAACTTTGTGAGAGAGAAACTGGGTAAAAAGTTTGTGGAACCTCCACCCTTTGACTTGGCCAAGAGTTACCAGGACTCTAACTGCTGTGCCCCTCTCATCTTCATCCTGTCCCCTGGGGCTGACCCAACCATGGCTCTCCTCAAGTTTGCTGAAGACAAGGGATTCGCTGGAAACAAATTCAACTCCATTTCCCTGGGTCAGGGACAGGTGAGATTTTCAATTCACAGAGATAACTTTACAACTCAGTAGTAGCGGGATGTAACCTATTTTTCTGCTAATTGAATTTTATTCATGTATGTTTTGTTTTAAAAAAAATTGTTAGACTTCAATTCCACTGTAAGTTTACCACTGACAAACTTAAGATTTTATGAAAGTTAGTTAATGTAAATTCTGCTTTATCACTGTACATCAGAGTCATCATCATGCATAACATACTTGATAATTTTTTTTTACAGGGACCCATTGCTGCCAAGATGATCAGTGAGGCGAGACAGGACGGGTCATGGGTCATGTTACAGAACTGTCACTTGGCTGTGTCCTGGATGACCCCTCTAGAGAAGACTTGTGAAGACTTCACACCAGAGAACACCCACTCAGACTTCAGGCTCTGGCTAACCAGCTATCCATCACCCAAGGTCTCTTATTAATATAAAAAGGGAGTGGGGAGGGGGGAACTCTTGAAAATTGAAAGAAAAATCTTATTTAATTTCTGTTTTACTTCAGAGTCTGCTTCATAAGTTTTAATTTAAGAAAAAAATTACAGTGAAACACATAGTGAAGAGCCAGGGACCATCAATTTTGATAAATTATAAACAAAATTGATTATATCTATTCAGTTCACAAAATGTTTTATCACTAAACAGGAATATAATTTTTGAATATCACTTTACTGTAAGTGTAAACTTATTTTAAAGTGTTTGCTATGTTCATATTTTACTGTATTGAATAGATTGAATGAGTGTACTTCTTTTCTAAGTAAACTGTAATTTAATTTTTTTAAAAATGTTTTGCAATGATTATATTGCTTGATTTGTAATGAAATACTTTTGATATGAATATTTGAAATCCCCCTTTAGTTCCCTGTGTTGACAGTGCTAAAATATTACGGAGTGAAGATTTTACCAATTTTACATGGAGTATCCAAACAAATATTGCCTTGAAAATGTCTGGACTCCTTTTACAGAATCTGCTGCAGTCCTACCTAAAATTTTTAAACGGTCAGTGATGAGGAGTTTTTTTAATGGATGTCCAGAGAGAAAAGGGATGCACAGTTAATGTCGATTTGTAGTCAAGGGTTGGGATCTATCACGTCAAATAATGGTATTGTTTTTAGCCTTAAAAATTTGATGAGCTACTGTCTCTCCCAATGTATAAATCCATTTGCAATAATATATGCATTGACAGCTGTTCATACATTGTAAAGTCTATTTGAGACTGAGAATCTCATCAAAATAGTGTAGAGGTAGAAGAAACGGGTTTTAATGACGTTGTCGGCACCAGAGCCAGGTGGTATATAATGTCGTTTTTTATTTTATAACCAAAAAAATAATAAACGTATCATTCTGATAATTTTTAACATTTCTTTAGTTTTTGTGTTTTATGTTCCTTATAAATTTTGTAAGCTCAGACAAAATAGTACTAATTTTATAGATTTTAGAAAGTACTTAGCTGTTTAATAAACACAATTGTTTACATACTAGGTAAAAATCTATCACAACACTCATGGCAGAAGGGTACTTAATATTTACGGTCTTTTTGTTTGTAGCCATTTGAGAAGCTTCTCTTTGGTCTGTGCTTTTTCCATGCCTTGGTTCAGGAGAGGAGGAAATTTGGTCCCCTTGGATGGAACATTCCCTACGGCTTCAACGAATCAGATCTCAGGATCTCTATCATGCAGTTACAGGTAAGGATTGCTTTGTCTTCATTTAATGAAGTCAAAGTATTTATTATTCGAAGCAGGGATGTACCAGATTGATTGTGCAGTGGTAAAAAAAAATGTGTGTATACGTGTTTATCGTTTAAAAGGAACGAATAAGTCATGTTTGACAAATACTACACTTGCAGCTCATTTCATTTAATCTCTTTAATGATATGTATGGAAAATAGAACCCTCTTTCCTTTCATCACAATTGTGAAGAAATAGTACTCTTGTCTGATAGCTTGGATTTACATTTGCAAATATAGAGAGATGTTCTGATCTTGAGTCACTCGTGGCTCTGAAATGAATAATATTCTAATTTTAGAATCATGAAATTCTCCACCTTATTTGTAGATGTTTATCAATGAGTATGACGAGGTTCCGTTTGATGCCATCAGCTACATGACAGGAGAGTGTAACTATGGTGGTCGCGTCACGGACGACTGGGATCGACGCCTACTGCTCACCATGCTGGCGGATTTCTACACGCCTCACATCATCACTGAATCCCGCTATAAATTCTCGCCCAGCGGGTCCTACTACTCCCCACCAAAGGGAAGTTACGAAGACTATGTTGAATTCATCAAGGTATTTATGAAACAAAATGGTGCTAATCTAAAACAAAAAGGGGAAAAAAAATATCAGTAAATTGCTTCATTTGAAGTTATATTTTTAATACCGTATAAGTGGAAATTTTAGCAAGACGCAAATTTTGCGATATCTACCTAAGAATTGGTAATTTATTTTAGTGAGAAGTAATTTTAGGGATTTTACAATGCTAACTAAAGAAGGCATTACAAATAATACGCAATTAATTTTTAGCGATATTCAATTTTAGCGATGTCAGCACCCTTGCTAATTTTGCCAAAATTAAATCCTCGCAAAAAAATTCTACTTATACGGTATTGTGTATGTTTTCTAGCTCTTTATTTCTCCCACTATGAGAAATTCTTTCTGTTTTTGAATTTTTATTCGTGTAGCTCAAAAATTACGATGGTATATGTAACTATTCGCAGTAAATGCAAAATTTCCCTTAGTTCATACAAATGAATAATAATACTTTTCTTCCTTCAGTCCTTGCCCCTGAACCAGCACCCTGAGGTGTTTGGAATGCATGAGAATGTGGACATCTCTAAGGAGCTGCAGGAGACAAAGCTGTTGTTTGATTCCGTCCTACTGGCCAGGGGAGGATCTGGGGGTGGTGGGGGTGGGTCTACAGACGACCAACTCTACACCATCGCGGGCGACATCCTCAGCAAGGTACCTAATGAATAGCTCATTTGTCTTTAGAACACTGATGTAGTTATGACAATGAAGTATAAAATCTATTGTATTTATGAAAATATATTTCATCTGTGTATTAATTATTTTTCTGTGCTTAGCTGCCAAAAGATTTTGACATAGAAACAGCTGGTAAGAAATACCCAGTGTCTTATGAAGAGAGCATGAATACAGTGCTGGTACAGGAAATGGAAAGATTTAACAGGTCAGTTCTTCATGGTATCGTTTATTTTTTTTTTATTCATTCAAATGATTTTTGCTGTTGAGATTCCAAGGTGTTAAAAATGTGACATGTGGTGCATGTTTGAGATGGACATTTTTTGTGACTATTTGGTTCAGGAGTTTATTTCAGTTTGTTATTATGTTGGCAATTTCTGAGATTTATTCCTCTAATAAATGACAATTTGGTTGGTTATTCATCAATAAATTAATTTTTAAATTTTCATTTACATAATTATATTACCAGGCTTATATATTAACTTGAGTACTTGCAAACATTTATCATACATTTGTTTTATCCCTAATACTGATTAAACATGATGTTTTTTTTTTGCAGGCTGTTGTCCATTGTCCGCTCTAGTTTAGTCAATTTACAGAAGGCCATTAAGGGGTTGGTTGTCATGTCTGCTGAGCTGGAAGCCCTGGCCAGTAGTTTACTGATCGGTAAACTCCCCGCTATGTGGGCCAAGAGGTCCTACCCCTCACTCAAACCTCTGGGCAGCTACATCAATGACTTCCTGGAGAGACTGAAATTCTTACAGGTCTGTACCAGGGCTGGGCATTACCACAATGAAAATTTATATGTGAATTATTTTTCTGTTACATTAACTAATAAAGGTGAAATTAAGATGAAAACAGCTGTTTATAACTTTGTTCTATATGTCATGATTAGAATAAAATTGTTAATTTTACATGTATGTCAAAAACAAAAAAATGTTAAAAAATCTAATTAAGTAGTCCTTTGTGTTTTACAGAAATGGTATGATGAAGGCAAGCCACCCACATTCTGGTTGTCTGGCTTCTTCTTTACCCAGGCCTTCTTGACAGGAGTCATGCAGAACTTTGCCAGAAAGTATACCATCCCCATTGATACCTTGGCCTTTGATTTTGATGTAAGTACTTCAGCACCCTCCCCCTATCTACAGAAATTATAAATTAAATTTGTCCTGGTAACTTTAAGAATGGTTATTTTTATTACATTATAAAAAAAAATTTCAGATAAAAAATTTATATATATTATAACTGAAATACCTCAGGGTGTACTATTTCTACATACTGTGTCGATATTTGTAGGTTCTGAGTCAGGAGACGTCTGACAAAGCCCCAGAAGATGGTTGCTATGTTTATGGATTGTTCCTTGATGGAGCCAGATGGGACAAACACAAGTAAGTATGGAAACAGATTGCTCAATCATGTTAACCACTTTTTTTGTTAAGGTCCAACAGAATGACTTAACAAGTTTGCTAAATGTGCCTCATTTACCCTGTTAATCTGCTCACATTTTTCACCTATATCAGTCTCTGTCCTTTGAACTGTTCTCTTTGACTTTTAAGTTGAAATGGTTTAAGGATTTTTCTGTTTTTTTCCTTTATAGGGATGTGTTATCAGAACAACTTCCTAAGATTCTGAACGAACCATTACCCATGATGTGGTTCATACCTAAAAAGAAATTAGAGATCGATGAATCGGACAAGAGATATAAATGCCCCATCTATAAAACGAGTGAGAGGAAGGGCGTATTGTCCACTACTGGACATTCTACAAACTTTGTGTTAGCCGTGCTGCTGAACACAGAACACCCAGTCCAGCACTGGATCAAGAGGGGCCTGGCATTACTCTGTCAGTTAGACTCTTAGAAATCTGTCTGTGTTACCCAGACTCTTGTAAATGCTTAATGGAAACTTTATCAGTTAGCATACAGAAATGGACACTATTTGTAAACAAGCTTGTCTGATTTTGTGGTTGTTGAATTTTTCAATTATGAAATGTTACTTAAACAAATTGTGATATGTAAAAAGAAATGTAGAGGAAAGTTTATTTTTTGTGTGAATTCATGTTTTATTTTTAAAACTTTTTTGTCTTAATTAATTCTTTGCTGTGTGTATATTTGAAAGCAGAAATTTAATGTATCACATTACATGTATAAACTTTGATGCATTCTTCAGACCAAAAAAAATGAGTTAAACTCTATAATTCACAGGCTTTGATGAAGACTCTGCATTTGTTTGATATTAATAAAACATCTTGTTTGAAGAGTGAACATTATGTAAAGAAATATTTATTGATGATGAAATATTTTTGTATTCCGTCCAGTGCTATGTTCTGCTATTTGTAACCGTCCATGATTACAAAACTTTTTTTGTGATAACTCTTTTGTTGAGAAAACACTTAATATATACAGTCACATATTTATTTTCAAAAAGTTCTTTCATATTGAAATTGTGTAATGCTTGTAAGTTTTTGTTAATTTTTTACACTAATTTCCCAATGTCTAACACAGTCATTGTTATTATCTGTGATATGTGAATAAAATCATTACACATTCTTTTTTTTTCCTTTTCTTGTATTTTGATTATTATGAAGTGATTATTTATGAGGGCACTAGATTTTTAATTCTACTCGTAGTTTATAAAGAAACAATTGACATTTTTTTTTTAAAAGTTGTCTTTAAAAATGCTCCTCCTTACTGGGTCCAGCATAAGATGCTCCACCATGTCTTAAAGTCAAATGTGGTCCACTCTCAATATTTCCAAAATTGCAATATTTTTCAAAAGTCTGTTACATCAAATGTATGACATTTCAACCCTTTGTACATTGATTTTGTTCCTGATAGAAACTGCTTCTTCAATCAAGATAGAACTTGTAAATTTTCATATCAATGATAAGTCATCAACAGAATTACTTTGCCAAAAATCACTCTATTTTACACCCTAGTACTATGAAGGGGATATTGAAAGAATGCAGGAATTCCTCATTGTCAACATTTCAGTTGTCTTCAGATACCATGTTTTCCAACAAACTGTTGGAATTGTATTGGATTGTGTTCTTTTATTGGTCAACCTGTTTTTATATTCCTATGAAGCAGAAGTTTGTTTAAAAACTTCTGCTGGAGAAGTCAAGAAAACACTTGTGATGGCCTTAAACTAGATCTACATTCAGATGTATGGACGAAACTTTATCAATTAACAATAGTTTACACCATTTATATGTCGACCAGATATCCCAGTGAACTGGAAGTTTTAGACATCTCAGGGTCTGCCTTGTCAGTTTCATAATTATTAACATAAAACAAGTTGATGAAACAAGAATATCAGCAGTCTCGTTTAAAGTCATCATTTTGTAAGTTCTATGGTCGATACAATGACTTTGTCAGCAAATACAATTTATCATTGATGAGTTAAATGCTGACTGATGTTTTTCATATTAATTGTTAGTCAATTATACACTGAATTGACGACGGATTTTCCCGTTTTCCCCCGATCATGACAAGGAGCACACGGCGGGTGTGACCGGTCAGCAGGGGATGCTCTCTCTTCCATGGTACCTGATCCCACCTCTGATGTTTTGGAGGTCCTTGTTTGCTCTGCTCCTATTTTGTATTTTTTTATGGAATTTTGATCTTGAATACTGTTCGTTATCTCCATATTCTTCATGTCTAAAATACTGTAAACCAAGTTTTATTCGCGTGCGAGAAATATCCGCGAGTTGCGTGACCTACTTTAACTTATAATTAAAATGTCAAATAACAACTAAATTCTATGACAAGGGAGGTGGTAAGCTTCTCCATCTTTATTTATGTACATGTATTTTATATATATTATGCTGTGACCTGCATATAGTGTTTCTGCTTCTATTCATGTACTTATTCAAAACTGGGGAGCATGCCTTTTTAAAAAACTAAAATAGGCTACTAACAGATAAGGTGATGTTACAGAGATATCAACAACCAGGTTTAATTTCCTTGGTTGTTTATAATGTCATAGTTAGCAAATATTTAATTATCGTGCATCCCATTGGGTCGTATATGTTGTTAGGCATATGTTTTTATACTAAATTTGACAACGGAATATTTGGTCTACTCATGGCTTAAATAAAAGCATGTGCTGTCGATCGACATGCAGGGGATGCTCATTCCTCCCAGCCACCGGTCTGATCCAATCTTTGTACTTTCCAGGGGCCTATGTTTTTAGCTGCAATAATGTAGCCCTCTCCGATTTGTTTTAATCTGATATTTTCTGGACCCCCCCCCCCCCCCCCCCCGAAAAAAAAGGAGAGGGCTACATTATTGCAGCTACATGTTTTAAGTCCTGTTTACAGAGTTGTGTTGCTTTTAGTTTTTGACATCGATCTCTAATCGATGTCTTCACCTTTTTCCATTTTGTAAAATGTTCGGCGGTGTCTTGTAAATAAGCAATAAATTTATGAGGTTTCAATTTTCAAGGGGCCAATTGTGATTTAAAGACATTTTTCTACAAAAGCTGTGTTACCAAAACTCCTCTTGCATTTTAGGCAGGATTTTTCTACAAAAGCTGTGTTACCAAAACTCCTCTTTTGCGAAACGACTGGGTGACAAAAACTCCGTAAACGCCATTCATTATAGAAGGGTATAATGAAGTTAAATAATCATATGTATCATGAAAAGTTGGGAGGTCAACATTACCGCTACATCGCCAAAATTTTCAACTCATTACCGCTATATTTTTTTTCAAAATTTCGACCGATCATTACCGCTACATTTTCTTTTTTTGTCGAAAACAACTCATTACAGCTACACATGGAATCAGCCAGGTATCCAAGTTCCAATCAAAAAACTTTCACAAAGAATTCAGCACGATGTTTTACAGTTCTCATTCTAAAATCTTAGAATTTTTGATTTGTTGTATCTCATTCTACATATATTTTGGAGTCGCGTTTGAATGTGAGATTTTGTATTTCAGGGGATACATCTCTTATGCATGTATATGTTGTACTTTACATCAATCTGTACAAGCACAAGTGGCTGGCTAACGAATTTAAGTAGGCAATGTAATGTTTTTGTAGTGGTAATGACTATGTAGCAGTTATGAAAATTTTGAAGATACGCACCCGAAAAGTTATTATTTGGTTTCCATTTATGTCTTTTTAATTTTTACAATAAAATATCAAAAAAATGAAACAGCAACAGCTATACATTTTGCACTGTGCAGCATAGTAAAGGTGCTTCTCCTCTGTATCTAGATACATCAGCATAGAATATTGCATAGAAAATGGGGGAGGGGAGCAGGTTCTACTAGTCCACTCACATTAGACAAATTCATCATTTCTATGTTTAGCCCCCCCCCCCCCCCCCCCCCCCCCCCCGCTACGTGCCCGTTAATAGCTGCAGAATTGTAGGTCTCCGAAAAAAATATTTTGACAGACGGTCTGTCAAAATATTTTTTTTCGCAGAGCTACAGTTCTGCACTAGCCGGTTAACGACTACACTGCATGACAACCGAGATGACCCGCTTTTTATGCATATTTCAATTTTCCTTATTCCACTATCACCTGCTTGTGGTGTTTATGTCTCCCAACTTATTCACTACTCAAGAGCTTGCTCTGATTACGATTTGTAACGTGAAGCGGTCTGCTACTGACTGATAAGTTGATGTTGCAGGGATTTCAATCACCTCAGTCGTTTAAAGTTGGCACTTCGTAAATTCTCGTTTTAATGACTTTGTTAGGAAATATGTCCAATCATTTCGTCGTATTTTTGGCTGATTTGTTTCAAAATTACCAAATACCCCAGTATTAGGCATTTGTTCTTTTACCTGCATGATCAATACATAGGGCTCGCGGTGGGTGTGACCGCCAGCAGGGAATGATTACTTCTCATAGGCACTTGGTCCCTTCGATCTTTGGAATTTCAAGGGGTCTGTGTTTTATTCCCTCTTCCTATATTTGTGTTGTTTATAGAATTTTCGAGATCGATCACTGCTCGTCATTTTCACCTTTCATAAATTATTACTATTTATTTTCCAGAATCAAATCCTTGATATATTAAGTTCATTTGATTTAAATGTAATCTTTTTTTTTTACTTCTCTGTGGGCGTTTACCAGGTTGTAAGAAAATGTAACCCCTCACCTCTAAGATATAATTTATTTATTTATTTTATGAATGA